ATAAAATGATCCTGCAATGAGGATATCTCCATGTGTTCTCACAGTACTAAATTCCTGTTAACGGCACTGATATCCTAAATAGACCTCATGGTATCTTTTCATGAGGGGTCTAATCAAATCTGAGCCTAGCGGAGCCAACCAGAGGGCAAGGAGACCCCCGAGATCGCCATTCGTTAAGGAGGTACGGTAGCCAAAGGTAATTCAGCAGTCATCCCTTAGAGTGGGGTGAGTCTGACTTTTAATGAAATAATATGGTACCTGATAATCTTTGTGTGATAGGGGCTCGGTTGGGAACTATATAAGGATAAAGCCTTCTCACCCCGCCCGACTCCTGAGTCCTGGAACCTATCTCAAAACTATCCTACACTTGCAATTTGTACTCACAGCTGAAAAGATGACTGTAATCTCCCCTCCCACTCCTTCTTATACCTGCCTCCGGGAATGTTCTAAGAAATTACACTGACAAACTTCTTCTCATATGTGTATTCCAGGGAATGGAGATATTCTGTATAGGGTGTGCCTTTATTTTGCACCTTGCGTATTGGGGACAAATTGGGATGAAAATGTGGAGCAGGAAGGATAGAGATTAAGGGGGCAGGAATCTATGGGGCAGGTATAGAGTCAAAATGGTAAAATAGGTTCTCGGGTTGGGTTTTATGTTTGTGCTATCGTACTGTAGGCAACCAGCTACGATGCCTGTTACAAATGCTATTTTCCTTGGCTTTGTTTGTTTTCCCCCTCCAACTGCGCCTACTCCTAATACCTATTTGTATAACAGACTATAGTATTATTTTAAGACAATTTCAAGAGACTCTTTATTTACTCAGATAGCCTTTAATTTTTTACTTTATATATTTTGGTTTAGAAGACCTGAAACCTAGATTGGATTCCTGTTTTTTTTTTTACATAATAATATTATTATGGAATAAGATGTGAGCCAATATCCATAAAAGGACCCTCTAGTGACAATGTTTTTACACGTCCTTATATTAATTACTAGATAGACATTAACTACATACTAATATCTTGAATTGACCTTCCCATATCTCCTGGCAAAAGTTAGATTGGAGCCAAGGGTATTAGATTCTTCAAATTACCATGTATTCACAGATAAAAGCTAATTTAGCAGATACTACTTAGGGAAAGTATCATTTTTACTAGTATGAAAGTTACCATCACTCTAGTTCTTCATGTGATGAGAACCCTAGTAGAAAGTCTATAAGGATGAACCCTTCCCACCCCATTCCTCAATTCTGTATCCCATCTTGAAACTATATCATACACCTATGATTTATATACAAAGCAAAAAAATGATAGCTATAATTCCTCCTTTCTGCTATTGATATAGCCTCTGAGAATATTCTGAGAAACTCAGTCAACTTGAACTAACTTATATTCCAGGTACTCAAGTTGCTTCTTTTAAGGGAGTGTATCTAATATACCTTAGTAACTTGGGTTAGGTATTCTGAAACTCTATAGGATAATACAATAAAGTCTACTTCTAAGTCTAATTAGTCTAGAGAATAGGCAAAGACTTTAGAATACTAATCTGAAATAGTAGTGAATAAAATAAATCTACATATCTTTAAATAACTACTAGCAAGAACCTGTTACTTTTCTAGTCAGTTTACTAAGGTATATAAAAAGCAATTATTACTACTGTTTTATTCTATCTATACATATTCAGTTGGCATTAGGAAGGACAACTTTATCTGGATATAAGACATAAAGGTAGTACTTCCTGATACTAGTAATAGTTGGAATAAACAAAAAACTATTAATAAGAAAGAAAGAAAAAAGGTTTCAATCTACACCATTCAATTAATATCCAGATCAGTTCAAGGTAGATTAAATAGGTCAATAGAAAAGAAGAAAGATGTGGTTGTTACAGTAATAGAAGGTAAGGGCAGTAAAGGAAGGAGAAAAGTCAAAGAAAGAGAAGAAGAAAAAACAGTCTAAGTATATATATAGTACTACTATTTGGAAACCACTACCTGGTAGTAAGGGAAGAATCCTTAGCCCAGAGAAGGGAATAAAGACTGGTAGACTACTTGATCAAAACACTACAAGGATAGAAATTAGGATAGCAAGTTTCTTTGATACATATAAAAAAGATAAGGAAAGGGAGTTAACAAATAAGTATGCTTACAGAATTAGTATTATAACTGACAAGGTGGGGAGGCAGCCAGGAAAAGAAAGATAAATATGAAAGATGGTACACGATGGTGTAGCATGTATACTTGTTCAGAGATAGTGTACTTCTAGGGAGCTGGCCTTTCAATTTCTTTTGTTTTTGCTTTATTTTTATTTACTATTTTTAATTGAATTGCCATAGATTTCCTACAGTCCGTGTACAGCTTCAAGTTATGTTGTGGGACGCCTAAACTATGTTTAGTTTTGTTTAGTTTTACTTACCTTGGATTTCCGGTATTGCTTGGGGGAATGGATCAAGACCATGCTACAAGAAATGTTCCCAACTGTCCGGTCAGTCCGTCTTTACCGGCCTATCTGACCGGGCCCGGCCGGACCGTAGATATCTGCAGGCTTTCAGATATCCACAGGCATATCCAGATATCTTCGAGCATCTTCTGATATCAGCAGGCATCTTCAGATTCAGCTGTGCACAGACGAAATATTTACTGATCAGGTGGCATATGCCGAAAGCCTGCCGGTGCGGTGCCCCCAGGCTTCACAAAGCCTAGCTTACGAAGCCCAGGTCAGTTTCACTTTGACCTAGCCAGGCCAGACTGTAGATCTGCAGGCTATCTGCAGGCCGGCCTGCGAGCGCTGCTTTGGGGTAGGACGGGATGGACTATAGCTGGCAGTCTGTCTTTTCCGCAGTGCTAGGAGGGACTATGCCTGAGACTAGTAGGGCCAGAGAGACTACGAAGGACTACCATCCTACTGGTTGAAATCTTATGAACAAAATGGTTTTGTCAGGGACAAGGTTTCAACCAATTCTGAGGTTCTTTGTGGTATAATATGTTGTTCCCCCGCAGTCCCCTGCAGTCTATGGTAGTCCTCCGCCATCCCTGGCAATGCCCCACCGTCCCCCTTACCACCACTGTTTCACCCGTACGGCCTGCCCTCCTACCTAAAGATGGCCATCCTCCACTTTCGCCGCCCGGGATGGACTGCACATGGCTGTCCTGCCGCACCTAGGGCTCTTGGTAGTCCCCCCGTAGGGCCCCGCCGACCCCCGGACGGTTGGGAACACCCCCCTCTCGTGCTAATTCCGGAGAATATTGAATCATAAGGAACTATGATATTTATACCAGCTTGCCCTACACCCGTTCCCCAGGTATCTAGGTATTCAAAATACACCCCATACTATCAGTGAATAGTACCTCATGTGTTGTGTCTCTGGACCAATGTTTGCCGGATGTACAGTACAGCACAGAACAGAGAAGGGTTGCCCGATCACTAAAGGGGCAAGAATTTGTGGGGAGAGGTACGGAGCCAAGATAGTGGATGGCCGTTGGGCAGTACGATATAGATATTTGGGTCATGTCATACCTGCAGAAAGCTTTAGGAAGACGTGTCTGCCTGTGTGATAGAGTACGTGAATTACTATATAGGAGGTGATCTCGATCATAGAGAAAGGCCAGTTGTCTTATCGTTGAACCTCTATGGCCCCAGCCATTGGGCGTATTACATATTATTGTATGCAGAGTTGTGCTCACACACGACTCGCTCGAATGATCGAACCCATAAGCTGTAGGTTCAAAAGTTCCTCCTCCCCCCCCTTCTTTCCAGATCTGCCTACGACTGTTAGATACGAAAGGGATATGAGAATCTATCAGTCCATCAAGCCAGAATCCCAGATGGACTCCTGGTAGCGTACGCAGGATTTACAGGTCCCTACTTCCCACTCTGGGTCTCCCACTGTAAACGTTCCATAAATACATTATGCAAGGTTTGAAGACCCTCCCCTACTGCCCGCCCTTTGAAAAGCACCCCGGAGTCATAAGCCGTGGGGAGCTAGAAGGAACCCACAAAGGCTATCACGGAAAATTCCATCCGGACGCATAACCGGGGGATCGTCCTCCTCTAGAAAGGATCGAGCACCGCTAAAGAAAGTAAATTATATACCGGCAGCCGGCCCCCAACACCGATCCACGGAGGATTATATCCTTTTTTCTTCTTCTTTTCCCCCTTCGGTGCCCCTTCCACCGAGATGTGAACCAATATCCACAAAAAGGTCGTCCAATGACGATATTGTTCGCACATTCCTAGGTTTAGGACTCAATTGAACCTAACATCATGGGTGCCCTAAATAGACCCCACCTGTCTCTCCTTAGATGTCGGATTCGAGCCCAGGCCACCCGAGGCACCTAAAGGGCAATGAGCCCCCCAAACCGCCATACATCAAGTACATATATCACACATTAACTAAATAACGAAAGACAATTCGGCAGACACTCCTTAGTGAGAGCCTGACTTTTTAAGAATAGGTACGGTATCATATCGTAGCCCGCGCTCCCGGTGCGTGATAAGGGCCCGGGCGGAAATTATATAAGGGTGAGGCCTGTCTCGCCATTCTCCACCATCCCAAGTCCTAGAACCCATTCCGAAAATATCTTACACCTGCAACTTGTACCCAAAGCCGGAATAACAACCTTACCCCCCTCTTATACTAACCCCTATGTTAGTCTGGGAAACCATGATACGTTGACTGGCTTCCCCCCGCAATCGTTTTCTAGGTATTCAGGTATTCAAAATTATCTCTATAGTGAATAGTGTTTTATGTGCTGTCTCTCGACCAATACTCGAGTATTTTCTGGATGGGCTTACTAACGGGGTAAGAACTTGTGAGGAGGTAGTGGGTGGCTGTTGGGCTGTACGGTATAGATATTCTCGCAATGTCATACCAGCAGAAAGGTTCAGAAGAAAGTGACCAGATCTGCAATAGATGTTGCTCGAGTGCGGAGGGTTAATAGGGGGTATTTGATATCAATCATGGAGAAAGGCCACCAGTCCTATTGCCAGTCCTCTATGGCTCGAGCCGTTAGGTATTTCATGTGTTACTGTATCTAGAGTTGTGCTCACACGCGACTTGCTCAAACGATCAAGCACGTAAGCTATAGATTCAAAATTCCTTCTTTCCCACCATCCAAGATGTGCTTACGACTCTTATAACCGAAAGGGATGTGGTCACCTGGATGAATAGAAATTGTGAGAGTCGTAGTTCACTCCAGTGCAACGCTTTGATTTCCCTTGCGACTACTACGAGCCGTACACATTCGAGAAGCAAGTAATAGCCGAAAAACAAATTGCAAAAAGAGTTGCAGCTCCTCCACGCATTATACCCCAGCAAGAAAAGAAAATCAGATAGAAAAGACAAACCCTACGTCTGAAACCCACCGCCAACCCCGAGTACTCCACAGCGCCATGCTACAAGTAACGGAGACCCCAGAAGTAGAAAATAAAGCCCAGGACTGCAAATATTGCGAAAACGACTGGCATCCCAGCAGTACTCGCTATCACGGGGACTGCAAAACTGACTAAGAACGTACCCATCCAATTAGCAGTCAAACCAATTGATTGCGCTGCGCCAACACCATTTGGTTCTATCCTACGAGAGGCCACCATCCAGGGCAGAGGACCCAAGCCCATAGAAAAGGACGAGACGAAGAGCAGGGTCGCAATTGCGGAGAGGACAGCGAATCGGGAAAAGATGCTCATTGTGAGGACAAGTGAGCAGAGCGCCATCATAAGCATAGACGCCAGGAGCAAAAACCTGTGGCTCACTCTATCGAACAAGAAGGATGCCCCCAAGGTGACAAACAAATTGACGCCCGAGATTGCTGCATTGAGGTATTTCGCGGAATTGGGAAGAAGATCGTGTAGGATTGAAACGCCGTAGAAAACAACAGCATTGATGCCTAATGTTTGATAAAGCCACACAATTAGTAAAAGGTGTAAATATGGTCGACGTGATCAAAACATCAGACATCGACTTACCGGTAAGTTGCTGTGCCAACATTACGCCAGCAACAATCATAAACCCAAAACGATATTCACGTTTGGTCACAAACTCTAGCAATCCAATCTTGCTATTCTCTGGTTCGGTAGTGGGTCCGGCTTCGAGGAGGGGGGCACCTTCACCAGTGGGCTGGGTGCCATCCATTCCCTCGGTTTGCCCTGGTTGCCTAGTGTAAGTATCCCCAGAGTAAAGAAGCCCTTGGTAAGGAAAACATACTAGCTCCGGCCTCGAGGAAAGGGTCATGTTCGCCCATGGGCTCGGTGTTATCTGTTCCCACGGGTTTTCCTGGCCGACTAGCATAAGTATCCCCTAAGAGAAGGATGCCCGTGGTGGGGAAAACAAATAAAAGCTTACCAGCTGGCTGGCTTTGATAAGCAGCAAGTTCTTCCTCAACGTCCGGAGTGCCTCTAATCTTGATAAGCTCTTTTCTAGCTTGCTCAATTTCTCCAGAGGCCATCAAAGACGATGGAGACTCGGGAAGAAATAGTAGCGCAACCGCCTGCGCAAAACCAATTATCCCTCCGATAAGAAGAATGAGGCGCCACTGCCCGTTTTTTTCTATAACAATGAAGATAATTAGAATTGAAGGAAACCAAGGCATCGAAAACAGTAACTCACCCAAGAAAATCCCCAAAACCTGAGAGGACAAGATACCCAAATTAATCGATAACTGTGTCAGGGCACCACTGTAGAGGTTAGTTGCGAATGGCCAAAGTTTGAAACCATGTTTAATAACTCACAATGCTCCCTTGGAGTTGGGGGGTGCGAGCTCGTTGATATAAATTGGCACAATAACCGCAGCAGAACCCGCAGCCGTTCCACTCAGGAATCTTCCAATGGTGAGAACAATGGCACCTCCTGCACCGGCCTTGAGCAACCCTCCGAGTCCGAACACCAAGGCAGTGCAAATGAGAACCCTTTTACGCCCGAAGGCGTTCATACCGGGGGTTGCGATAACGGAGCCAACTAGACCTCCGATAGCAAGGACACTGGAGGCGAGGCCTTAATAAAGGGTATTATTAGCTCTTGAAAGAGACCGGGCCGGGCACAGAACCTCCGAAGAAGTCTGCCCAGCCAGAGGGGGGAAAAAAATAAACTAGAGTCTCAGATGGGGCAGCCGTGACTCCGGTTCACTTGCAGGCCCACTGCAACCCTCCAAGTCCCCGACCCAACCACAATTCACCGGGGGGCAAACCAAAAGGGACGATTGCCATGCAAAGTTCTAACTTGGGGATTTAGTGATCGTACCGAATTGGGCAGCATTTAGGCCCAAGCTGTCCTGGATTTCCCTCTGAGGAGCATTCAATTCGGCCTAGAGTAAAAACCCAGGTCAGACCAAACTCTACATACCAACTATTTTGGAGCCCGTACCAAGTTCCAGCCGAAAAGAACTGTCCCTGCCACAAGGACGGCGGCGTAGACGAACAAGATGGCAGGCATGACCGCCCGCGAATAAATGAAATGGAGTTGAAATGAGATTGAATGGGTGAACGAGTTGAATATAGAAATTAGCTAAATGACCTAAGAGAATGGAAATGGGAGTGTAAGAGGTTGGGAAAGGTTGTTGGTTCTGAAGAAATGTGATGTCGAGGAAAGGAGTGGTGATTGGATGTGGAGAGAAGCAAGAATTCGGAGGAATAAGGGGGGCAGGGTGAGGAAGAGAAGGGATCTGTTTGCTAAAGGCTAGTGACCGCGCGTCGTGGGTTTACCCCAAATGTTTGCCTGCTGCCACGACGTACGCACGCAGGTGCAGTATAGGGCTCAAGTTGAGGCGACCAGAGTCGTGAGAGTTGCGATACACGAGACAACCGCCTTATCACGTTGATAGACCTGTACCATAAAAGCTCCCAGGATTGGCTGTCTCCATCAAGTCTCTAATCTCCGGATTCAGGGACAAAGTTCTTAAAAAGGACTAAGGATTTCCTAATACGGCATCATGCATCCTCTAATAGCTACTTGACCGTGCCCATTAACTTGCGAAGCCAAACCTATCGCAAGTTGATGCAGCGATTTAGGGGATAATCCGATAGTGAATTGAAAAGATCTCTAATCCACGATACCGTAGGACTCTGGAAATCCACTACCTACACCGGTGCCAGATCATCGGCGGAAATCAGCCTGTCGGCCCCCGATAGGTTTGACTCAACGGTATGACAATTGCGAATGCCGGCTAAACGAGATCCAAGATAATCCGGCAGGCCAGCCTTATACCGTAACGTGTCAGGAAACTCCAATCCTTCCCGGGGGGCTCTCGTGCCTGGTTCCGGGATCGGGACCGGCGGGAGATGGCGAATTACCGTGCTCGAGTACAAGAGATCCTATGATATTGTACCGGCAGACTTGTACCAAAGTGTCCAATGTGGCGGATCCAACGATGAGCGACCCCAGTACGTGTGGATGGATGTTTCAGTCATCCAATGTTGCGCTCCGCCAAGAATTGGTTGAAATCTCTCAATGGTGCTGGACACCAGATCCGACGATCTTGTTCACTTTTCCGTCGCTTAGTAATACACACAAACAGTCGCATCTTGGCACAAATTCACTCTGTCCAAAATGCTCCCCTACCATCCTCCCCCAATTCTCACTTTATCAAGAAGCAGAGTTCATAGAATTAAGGAGGAGCCAGCCTCAAGTAGTTCTATCAAGATTTTTTCCCCAGAAGCTTTGCTGTTGGAGTCGGTTCCTTGCTAGATTTGCTTGTAGTGAGGCTCGATTTCAGACACCCAAGCCAGTACCGTACCTGGCCGATTTGCGTTCTCCCGGTTTCCCGACGTCTTGGATGGAGGCTCTCCGCCGCACGATCGAGGCTGGATCCCGATAACTCCCACTCTCAAGTAGGACGCATCGCCACGATACTGCACGATACAGACAAAAAAACCCCACTTACTCCAGACTACCCGCACTCTATCTTTATATTGCGAACCACAGACTCCTACACGCAGCTGAAAAAAAAAAACATCACAGCTGGCCACGCAGGAAATATAATTTTCAGGCTGATTTTCAGGAGAGAAGAAAGCTAGAACCCAGGCTTGATTGGAAGGCCTGTTGTCAGCGCATATCACAAAGAAGGTGGCTTCTCCCCCTCCCCCCACTCGAGCCTGACGGTTCCACTTCGGCGCGACGCGTCGAATTCCGTCTAACAAAGACGCTAAGTCACGCCCTACGGTACAGCACACCACCGATTTGCCGCATGCAAAGAGCCGAAGACAGGGAAGTTGACGACAAGGACGATCGCGGCGGAGGAAGACCCGGTTTGCTTACCTCGACCTCGACCATCTTCAACACAACCACACCCGCACAACGTCCTCCGTCGAAACGGAAGCGAGAAGACACCCATAACGAAGAAGGTGACGAGGGCGAGGACGAGCAAGAGGAAGAAGACCGAGGGGAAAGGGGGTTGCACGAAGAGATAATGCCACCGTACAAAAGCAAAGTCAGAGTACTTGAGGAGTATCAGATCATTGGGTTTATATCTAGTGGTACATATGGTAGAGTCTACAAAGCCAGAAGCAAACTGCCTGGGAATACTAAAGAATATGCCATCAAAAAGTCAGGAGCTGCTTTTCTCCACATTTTCTAATTCGGATTTGGCATCCGGTTGGGGGTGATGGGGTATCTTTGCTGGAAACCACGCTTACACTTCATGATACAGATTCAAACCGGACAAGGAAGGTGAAGTCATCCAGTACACTGGGATATCACAATCGGCATGCCGAGAAATGGCTGTAAGTGCTTTCTTCTTCCTTTGCGAATCTTGTGAGCAATCCCTAATTTAGCTGAACAGCTCTGTAGCGAGCTAAGCCACGAGAACGTCATTCATCTCCATGAAATTATCCTTGAGGACAAATGCATATATATGGTGTTTGAGTATGCCGAGCACGATTTATTAGTAAGATACAAGTCCCCCTCTGTACTACAGCGGATCCATCTAACCAGGCGTTAGCAAATCGTACACTATCATTCTCACCCGGAACGACGCCCGATACCGGAAGCAACCATTAAGTCTGTCCTCTGGCAACTGCTCAATGGCGTGTCTTATCTACACCAGAACTGGGTCCTGCATCGCGATCTCAAACCTGCAAACATCATGGTCACGGCTACTGGCGAAGTCAAGATTGGAGATTTGGGGCTAGCCAGGTTATTCTGGAAGCCCCTCCAGAGCTTGTATACGGGCGATAAGGTGGTAGTAACCATTTGGTACCGAGCGCCTGAGCTGCTTCTCGGGAGTAAACACTACACAGCAGCAATTGATCTCTGGGCTGTTGGGTGTATTTTTGCCGAGCTCCTGGCCTTGAGACCGATATTCAAGGGAGAAGAAGCCAAGATGGAGAAGAAGAGTACCGTGCCATTCCAGCGGAACCAGATGCAAAAGATTATCGAAATTCTCGGGAGCCCTTCCAGTAAGTTTTCCCAGAGGTCTTCACACCCAAAATGCCCTGGGTTGTCACCATGAATATAGCGATATAGTATCACACCCAGTAACCAGCTAACTCTCTACCAGAGGAACGGTGGCCCGCTGTTACCCAGCAGCCAGAATATAACCAACTTCAAACCTTCAAGCAATACCCAAATAACCTTGAAGCCTGGTATCACCAAATCGGTGCAACTAACGCCCTAGGATTTCAACTTTTATCCGGCCTATTAAATTACGACCCCACGCAACGACTCACAGCGCAAAGCGCCCTTGAGCATCCATATTTCAGCGAAGGCGCAAAGTTAACTTTGAAGCACGATCCCACACACCCCCTTTCGGCTTAGCCCGCTTCTTGACACATTAGCATCGTTAAACTAACGCTTACAATAGTGCATTCGAGGGCCAAAGTTTCGATTATCCTCATCGGAGAGTGAGCCAAGACGATAACGATATCTCCTTACCTGGGACCAAAAGGAGCGGGCTTCCCGATGATTCCTTGGGAGGCTCAAGAGCAAAGAGATTAAAGGAAGGCTAGGATCAATTCCAGGAATCTGTAGGCGTTCTCGTAGAATTTTTGAACCGACCGAATTATTGAACCGATCGATTACCCCAGCGATTCTGTAATTTAGCATTTGATGTAATCACACCCATTTCACACATGTCGGGGATGTTGGGGCTGACCCCGCCGCGACGACACTTGGGGTGGGGTGGCTTGGCTGTACCGGTGTGGAGGTGCTGGGTTCGGTTGCTTTTTGTCATGTTTTATAGGGGGTTTGCCCTATAAAATTTCCTGTTTGGGGATGTCTTGGCAGGTTGGATTTTCTGTATTAATAGTCTGGCTCCTCCCCTTCTTGGTTAGAGAAAGGCGACAACCACCACCCACCACATCAATAAATACTGTTTTCTGTCTACCTATATTGGGTCCTGCTTCATCACCTTTTACCTCTCCACTATCGGTCATACCCTACAAGCCTCAATCCTCTTCATTTTTATCCCTCTTATCCTACAATTTTACAAGGAGCAACCCCAGCACCCCATATTCCACAAGCGCAGCCTTGTCGAACACACCACCCAGTCACGAAAGTCAACAGAGACATCTCCACACCGGCACTTGTAAGCCGCAATCCGCTCGTGGGCGGCCGAGTTGACCCGGACAGCCAAGGTGGCAACCACCACACAGCGGGCTCAACATCGGCCTGGCCGTGCTGGTACTGTTATCCACGATGGCGCAAAATCCCGTAAAATCCACTACCGGATTACCGGTACGGTATCGGCGAGAACTATTACAGCGACTTACGATAGGTTTAGTTTGACAGGTCACCAGAAACACGAATACCGGTCAATGAGATCGAACACACTCGGAACGCCTAGGCTTCACCGTGTGAGGGAAACGCCAACCCTTTCTGAAAATTTTTGTTTCCGAGCACGGAGATTAGAGGTCTAGCGGAGACAATGGATCACAATATTATGTTATATAGCCCAAGAGTCATTAAAGAGTGAGCAAGTCCTTGTAAACACCCTCACAAGTACGATAATTTTCAATCGCCTGTTGGTCCCGGTAGAGAGGGTCTAGCAGTTCAAGGCCCTGTCTGGCAAGCAAGGGAAATGGCATTCTTCTCGCTTTTATAGCTTTTTTTTTTTTTCCAATTGAAATATTTTAATATTGCACTTTTTTGGCCATAGCCCAACTTACAAGCCACCTCCAAGAATTCTACCGTACTCTTATCATGGCGCCCAGAAAGGTAAATGCCATCCAGATACTGTATGCTTTTATATATATACACCCTTTGGTCAAAGGGATCTGGTTTTCAGCAAAAAATGAGTACTCGTACTCGTACCGGTAATAAAGAAAAACAGCATTTCTAAATGGTGGCCTGCCAAACATGATTTCTCCCACCCGAACCCATTTTAGGAGGCGTTCACACACACCCTCTACTCGAGTACTCGAGTACTCGTAGAGTACACTGTCATGGGATTTACGGTAGCCCAGTCCCGTACAGACAACACTCGACGACGAACCCTGAGCATGACGTCGGGGGACCCGATCTGAAAGCCAAGACAATCACGTGACAAAAGTTAAACTGCATGGCCAAAAATTGCGGAAACCTCTAAGGTTACATGGTCAGGAAGGAAGTTATGAAACAGTTATTTGAGGTTAACCGGCCGGATGTATCCCTGTTTGTTGTATCATACCAATGTTTCGTGATTACAAGTTATGATGGATCCGGGACGAGCATTCTACCGGCACGGGACCAAGATTTTCTTATGCCTTCGAAAGATTTGTCACTCGTGTCGCACTCCTCCCATAATAGGGGTGCACTCAAAGCCTGTAGTTGCCATGGTTCCGGCTCCCGGCCTCCATCTGACCATCTGCTCGCCAAAAATCAAAAGTCTGTCCCCGACCTTTACCAAGGCGCAGACGACCGAACCATGCCCTCTCAACATCACCAGTGACCCCATTTCCAGGGATATTCGATTTATGAGTAATGGCTATCAACACAATTCTCCTTGTTAGAGGGGTTGTTAGAGGGGAGCAATTGTTGTGTTGCCACCACCGGCTATACCTTGGGGACAGATTTTTGATTTTGGCGAGTATATATACCCATCTGTCCCGGCCTCCTCACCCAGCTACCTTCTCCTCCTACAAACTCCCCTAAAAAAAAAACCCCTCCACCTTCTCCCCAGAGACAAAACTCGACGTCACTAACCACTGTACCCTTCGATCACTACACCCTTTCCAAAGATTGAAGCACGAGATATTTTCAAACTCCACATATCAGGATCACAATGTCTTCCGCTACAACTTTCTATGATCTCGCGCCTCTTGACTCTGGAAACCAAGTTTATGACTTCAACCAGTTGAAAGGGAAGGTGGTTCTCGTTGTCAACGTCGCTAGCAAGTATATCTCCCCAGCTTATTCCCCGGGTCTTCAATAAAATTCCCTTCGCGGCTAACGATGGGTGCATAGGTGCGGCTTTACTCCTGTAGGTTTATCGAGCTAAGATTTATCCATTAGTCGGATAGTTAAGCTTATTCGCCGGATTAGCAATACGAGGGCCTTGAGAAGCTTCACGAGAAGTACAAGGACCAGGGGCTCGAAGTGCTCGGTTTCCCGTGTAACCAGTTCGGTGGCCAAGAGCCAGGAACAGCTGAGGAGATCCAGGATGTAAGAGACTTCCTGCCACTCACAGATTGAACATGATGACTTACTCGCCCGTTGCAGTTTTGCACGTGGGTTCTGGCCATATCCTCTTGCTTTCACCTTGGCCCAGTATTAACAGCGATCAAAGAGTCAATTACGGCGTCAAGTTCCCTGTTCTCGCCAAGATCGATGTCAATGGAGATAATGCTTCCCCGGTGTACAAGTACTATCCTCAACTCCCCCGGCAGGGGCCTTTTATGAGCTGATGATATGGCACAGATGGCTCAAAAATGAGAAGGCCGGCCTTTTAGGAATGAAGCTCATGTATGTCCCCTAGTTATACTGAGTTTTATGTTCCAGGTAAATCAAATACTAACTCTGCATTTAGCAAATGGAACTACGGTAAGAAAAATTTCCACGCCTTATAAAGCATCCGACAATGTCTAACGCCTGTCTAGAGAAATTTCTCGTTTCTAGGGAAGGCAAAGTGGTTGAACGCTACGCCTCCACCACTAAGCCCGAATCTTTGACCTCTGCCATTGAGAAGGAACTCAATAAGGATACTCCTCCGCGTGCTGAATTGTGATCGGACTCTTGGATGGCTCGTGGTGGCTTTTCCCCGCATTCGCGAGTCTTGTGACTTTAGGCTCCGATGGTGGGTTTAATAGCGATCACGCAATGAATTTGTGGTTTAGCGAAAGTTATTATACCTCTTGTTTTCTTTCCAGACGCACTGGAATTACGACCTGAGAATAGGAGAATGACTCATCCATCTTATCTTTCTCTCTCATCCACCCTTTGCCAGTTAAGTGATATACGATGATACCGCAATGATTCCTTGTGTTTCCCTTGAGCAATGCCCTAGAACCCAGGGGCCTCATGTGAACCCACCAGAACCCTACAATGGTGTTAACCCCCCATAGCATGAAAAAAAAAAAAGCCTGATATCTTGAACTGCCGCCACATATCGGGAACCCGCGATCCCCGAAAAAAAGCGTGCCTTAACGGAAAGCATATGAAACCCCACGGTAGCCGTGCATCCCCGGCATCATACAGTACCAACCGGGAAACCCACTTTCCCCTCACCACAAGCAAGCACACGGCTACAGCGGCGCAGGTACCCTCACCGCTTCGCACAGACGGGAGTCGGGCGGGCAGAAAAAAAACAACCAACCGACCACCCACCCATCCATCCATCGCAGGGCATCTGCTCGTACTAGTAGTCTACGGGCACGCTGCGGGGGCAGCCCATCACATGACGTAACCCCCCCCCCCACCCAAAAGGTAACAATCACCGGCACCACATACAAATAACCGTAGGGTGCATACTACACAGTACTCGACTACCGTATGTACCAAGTTACCCATCGGAGCCTCATCGCAAAACACCATAACGATATGGCACCAAACCAACGTCCGCAGAGGCACAGAACGGTAATAACTTACAGTAGATCAATCTAAACCAAACTTGGACACCAGCTGTGACCAGTACGAGTGAGGGGTCATGATTGCGGCGAAGGTATGATACCGACGGGTATGAATACAGTTGGGTATCTTACGCCCTCGAGGGGTAGTCTAAGCAGGCAAAATAAGTGCTATAGAGAAAAGCCAATTAATTAATCAGGGCATCATACGTTGTCCGTTTTGTATGCATTCGGTGATTAAGTTAAGTTATGACGTATAGGCATGTATGGTAGGTAGGTATCCCATCGTAAGCCGGAACCCCTAGCCCGCGCGGGTGCAGGTACTGTACTGTACCGTACGGGACAGTATGATACGAGTATGTACGAGCACAGCGGAAAGCATCCGTCCCATTTCATTTCATAATACCCTTTTTTATGATACACGCGTACCGTACTAGGATACGGCACTCCCCCCCCACCCCCACTACCCCCCTCACGGAGAATATTGTCCCCGGCGCAAGATATGATACCGGTATATACCCGTCATCCTGAACACCCACCCCACCGGAAAGGAAAAATACCGAGCAAAATTATTCTTTGGGTGCTTCGTTCTGCCCTATCCGGTATTCCATTTTTTTACACTTTTTTTTTTTTGCGAGAGATACGGGCACTGTACCGTACAGTACAGTGATCATGTGTAGTGTACTGTACGAGTACCAGTAGCGTAGTGTGTGTCCGAATGATGCAGCAGTAGAACTACCACCCAACTACGGTACTCGTAAGACGTCGGAGTTTCCTCTTCTGGGGAAAAGAAGAAAAAAAACAAAAAAAAAACAGGTCATAATTTGAGATAAAGGGATGCACCGCCTTATCCGCCTTACCGAGAAGGGCAAGTGCAACGTCCTGGGAGCGCCCTCTTTTTCGAGTTTTTTTTTTATCGTGGTATCATAAGGTAAATACCAAGGGTTCTAGAACGGGGTTGGGCATTGGGCTTAGTGAGCGAGGATGGACGGTTGGTCAACTCGAGTACGGTGCCGTACTTGTAGTCTACCTGCCTGCCACACGGGCACTCGTACAGCATCCGTAGTCTGCGAGTACAGCGCCGGTGGGTGCCCCAGGGCTTGGTGTGGTTGGGAATTGATTACCGGTATCCACCGTGGGTGGTCGGTCGGCGTCGGACCCAGGTGCCTTTTTTTTTTAAGGAAGAGAAAAAGAAAAAGAAAAAAAAAGAGTTTGCGGCGGTTTTAAGGCTCCTGGTTGGTTGGTTGGGAGTTGTGGGATGTGGTCCGATGAGGTGGGGGGTTGGGCATCGGTGCTGATGGAGGATATCATACTATAATTATTATGTTGGTGCCGTAAGGTACAGCATCTTCTCTCCCTTTGCTCTACCAGTAGTCTAGCTTGCTATTCGACGCAATGGTGCTATGATATGGCATCCTTTGGGGAGCGGGGGATTTTGTATCTTTCTTAAAAAAAACAAAAACAAGCTTGTTTCGGAAAGGTAATGGGTATTCGGATGGATCATGGCCTGGTGTCGTAGGACCACTCGTGCAGTACACTGCAGTTTCTGATCCTCCGGAGGGGATAATATCCGGATATTTTATTGTGCCTTGTCGGTTCGGTGCTGGCCTGTTGGCATACGACAGCGTGCAGTGCTCGGGTACTATTACGATGGTCAAGGATTCGACGGGGTTCCAATGTAAAATAGTTGCATGCATCTGTGCAGCAGCTCCGCGAACCTGCGATAGCTCCCGGGAACATCCAACTAACTTGGGCCAATAACTCGCATAGCGATGCATATGTGCACACAAATCACAGCCACCAAAGCCCGAGGACGACAGGAAAAGTGAAAATAAAGAGAAGATTCATACACATATAGTAACATATTGCCTCGAAGCAAACAGCAAAACAGGCCAGTCAGCATCTTTCCCTTGACACCCAATAATCCCGGAGAAAGTGGTAAGTGGAAAAGAGAGGAATAACACCCAGCGCCCGTAAACCAATAATACATGAAAAACCGAAAGTGTAGGTATTCAAGAAGGAAAGGGGAGGAAGTAGAACCTCAAACATGAGATGATAAAGGGCTATATGATGCACAACAGTGTATGTAAAAAAGAAAAGGAGCAACGACCCAAATCTCGAACCCTTGTACTCCAAATATCGGACCTCTAGGATAGCGGGGGGGAAAAAAAAGGAGGGTGGGATGAATATTTAATAGGAACACAACCCTCCAACTTCACTGCTGTCCTCCCACGATCCGGCCATCCCAATGGCTGGGGGAGTGTAGTCTTCAAATTCATTTACCTTGCAAGTCCTAATAAATCCGTTAGGACTTGGTGGGTGTCGCGTGGTGCCCTCGGTTTCCATCGGCACCCGATCTCCAATTGCAGCAGCTAGCGTCTCGACTCTGGATTGTTCCAAAAAGGGCATCAGCCGAGTTCCCCCTGTGCCTTTAAGTCCGTTCTTAGCCGCCTCATTGCTGGCAAGCCCGTGGCCACCCCCGGCCGGTGGGCTCTCTGACCCTAAAGCCATAGTACTAGCAATATTCCTAATTGGTACGGCTCCAGACGCTTCCGGATCCAATTTTGCCTGTTTGGCCTGACCGGCTGGGACGATGATGTAGCGGGCCACTATCGCCTTGTGCGCAGCACGAAACTGCTCAAGGGCGCCTAGGCACTTGTTATACGTGGCGCACAGCTCGATATCATCCGACCGGCTTTCGGTGCAGGTCCGAATGTTGGGGATAAGGCACAAGTGTTCCAAAAACCGGCGGTGAGGGCCGGGCATATACTTTCTCATTTCCTATTAAAGCGTTATTACCGCTACCGCCAGAATGTAGACAAGGAGTATGAACCTGAATGAAATTGTGTTTTGGCGGAGGGGCAGTGCCCTCTAGACTTGATACGGTGGGATCCTTCTTCTGACCCGTTGGGTAATGCTCAACCCCAAGAATGATATCGAAAGCCTGTATCAATGAGCTCTGCGCATTACTTCCACCAGAGTACTCCCGATAGCAGTCGCCATCACTCCCGGTGTCGTAAAAGACGCCGTTTGGGAGTCCTGCCTCCGCCATCCTCTTTGATCCGGCCAGGAAGGGCCGGATCCCAAAGTAGAAAACGTGTGGCCTGCATCTCTCGTACATGCGTTTCAGCAGTAGCGTAAGATCCTCAATGCGAGACGAGAATATTCTCAGACAATCCTTTACCGTCCGGATGTCGTCATCACGTGCGGCTCGCATAGCCTCCAACATGAGTGGGATTGTAGGCGCTCCTCGAGCTTCGATGGCAACAGAAATGAGGTAGAACCAAGCCTCATCCTCCGTCCCCGTAAAAGTCAGAAGCGATTCCAAATTCTCCGGGTCGTCGACCGGCCCATCGAGATCTCGGAGGCCGTAATTCCAAAGACAAACGGCAGCGTATGTTGCAACCGGGGGAATTTGTAACGTCTCCGAGAGGCCGAGGAAGGGAATGGATATCGCCGGTGGCAACCACTAAGTCAAAAAAGTCAGCGCCGGAGACCCTGCACCGACAGCAAATAATGGGAGCACAAACCTCGCATGCATCAATACCTCCCCAAATATACGCATGGGACATGAAGGCCAACATCATGTATGCCCTCCTCTGCTCCGCCTCGGAAACCAACCTGTCCGGGGTGAGCACGGGGAGGGCGTTGACCCATTCCCGGACCTTTTGAGTCTTGATCAAAGTTTCCAGAATCTCCAGAAGGGCCTCCCAAGGTGCATAGTAGGGATCTTCGAGGCGTGCCAACGGTGGGTGTTCAGGTAGAAAGCCGTAGTTTGCCGAGAGTCCGTAGTCCTCGAGTCTAGGGATTGAGGGAATCATGACGATTCGACTGTGTACTAGTGCAAAGAGCACAAGTCAACACTTCGTAAAATGCTCAATGAAATAGGGAAGGGAACGGGGCGTATTAATCTATCGACTGAACCCGAGTAAAGGGGGGGGGAGTGGAGGCGGGTAATATTGGAGAATGCTTGGGGGGTGGTATGTAGAGTATATATATGTATATATACACACTATGTATGACCCAGAGGGTTTGTAAAAGTGGCGCTGTGCCTGTGCGAAGTTGGGTGGGAGGGGACAAGGGCAATTTTAACACTGTGTAGGGTCAAAGGCAATGGGAGGAGGAGGAAAGAGGTGAAGGCGGGCTAGCAGGTTCCCACGAGAAAACTCTGGCGGGGGGCAGAAGAACGAGACCAGAGGGGAAAAGAAGAGGGGAAGAAAGAAAGAAAGAAAAATGGCACCGAGGAGACATCCGGACAAGGGCTGGGATTTGTAAGAGAGTGCGGGAAGTGTCTCTCGGAACGGCGGAGAAGGAAGTGTGGTGGCTGCTGATACTCGAGTACTGTACGAGTACTCGAGTATACGGGGTCCACGGCACAAGTGCCCACACAACGACCCTCATTCCCCAGGAGGCGAACGGGCGAAAGGGGTGGTCAGGCAAACGGGATGATAACGGTAGGTCTGCTAGCGTCACCGAGCACTCGCGGACTCCACTCGTATCTGATTGCCGAGCACTTGTATCCGACGGGAATATGCCCAACCCAGGACCCCCACTGGGGAGATCAAACGGGTGGGCTTCAACTCCGACACTCCCACTTTCCCGCTCGCCGTAGTTATTGCCATTGCGACGGACTGTGGTGTTTGGGGTAGGTTTGCTGCGATTTGTTAATTCTTCTTCTCACTTCCTCGCCCCCCACCTGTTTGTCTGGAACCAGGTATTTCATAGGGTGGGGCGCCGCGTGCACTCGCCATCAGAGGATACCCCCGTGAGCCCCACGTGAGTAGCCAAGATGCATGATTGAAAGTGCAGATCTTGGAGGGAAAGAGTAACCACAGATGGAAGGTTACGGTACAACTTGTCCGAGGAGCCTCCCCCCTAGAAACTGGCCGAGAGACGTACTCGCTGCTCGTAAGGATAGAAGAATCTCTCGCAGAGTGACTACGGGTCTACTGCAATTCTCCCACTTATATCCCAGGTGCAATAGCAAGCCAGGCAGCTGATGTGGCGAGTACCGGCAGACTTACTGATTGCCCCAACCGAGCGCCAGACGAGTTATCAATCCCCATGAACCCCCCCCCTCCTCTCTATATATATATATATCTACACCTCTGTTAGGGTCCCGGGAAGGAGAAGGAGGCCCTTCTTAAGCGTTTAAACAATCCCACTGCCGCGGCACCCAGCACTCTGGGAGATACCGTGGAATCTATGATATGACACCAACGTGGCCCCTCTCGACCCCAGACCCTCGTGCAAGAATTGCTCGAAACAAGCTGCAAGAAGGAAGCCCCCGGAAGTTTTCCGCCGGTATGATATTCGGTATGATACCATACTTGGCTCAACAGGTATCATACCCCCAAGCGTAGGCCCCCGCGGTGTGGAAACGGTGGGTCCGGGTGCATGTACCAGTAGGGGTTTTCAAAGTTAAAAAGGTAGCAAAATTTTAGCTTACTTTGGTGTTTTATGTAAACTTGGCATGCACAGAAATGGTTAATTTACTGTTACTTAACTTTACCATACCATAGGGTAGAGACGGAGATCTGGAGGTCAGTACCGGATACTGGTCCTGGTTTTACACAGCTTTACCAATTCTCTAAAATCAGACATGATGTAAAAAGAAAAAATTTTAAAAATCAAAACCCAATTTTAAAAAATACCATAGCACATCCCAGGAATAATTATGTACTCTCACTGATAAAAATCTTCTGACTTTTGATATTTTGTTAACAAAAACTGGTTTCTTACCATCTCTGTAAGATTTACCATAACCTTTATACTTTGTCTTCAGTTACCCCAGAACTTTCAAATATGGTACCTGGAACATGAGGATGCTATTGGCTGATACCAGAAAGTAAGCTTATGCAACTTCTGGCATTTACTCGTTACTGAAAAATCATGTTTTTAACTTTGAAAACCCCTAGTACTGTACTGTACGATACCGGTACTGTACTATACCCTACTATGCTGTGGCCTTCTCCATCTCTCACCATCCATCTCCTTTACTTCTGATGCCTAGCCCTCCCAGTCTCCCACATCTCTCCCCTCGACCTACATGTACTTGTACTGGTATCTCCTTCCATGCAAGGGGTCTTAGATACGCGTTTACGTACTCTATACCGGTCTACGATACATCGCACAGCCTTTCTGATTGCTTCGACTTCTCCAACTTCGATGCCCTCTTCCGGGTTACTTACCGCTGTATTGTGTCTGCGCCATTTTCTTGTATCAATTGATCTTGACGACCTGTCCTCGCACACCCCCTCTGACCGAATCGCAGGCTTGCGGTTGAGTGGGATGTGATTAACGGGATGTATCATACTCTGCTCGAGTAGTACCGCCCCCGTCATGTTGAAAATAATTTGGCTAATTCCTAAACATGGAGAATAGAGCCAAAGTGACACCCCTACGGTGCACAGACAACCCCACCCCGCCGCCAGAATTGACGGATTCCTAGATAAACAGCTAACGTGGAATGTCATCGAGGGGTTTCAGATGAGCAACCTTCCCTGCATAAACAGCCGGCAGTCCTTGCTTGCTCGCAGATGTCGGGCGCTTCCTCTAACTGTGGTACCGGTAGGGGCGGGCGAGAGGGGCAGCCAGCAAGGTTGCAGTGGGGTTGTGTCTCGTGCCACCAGACTCAACCATGACCTGGGGATCTACAGTTACGGTTTCTTCACAGGACATCCCGGAAAAATTACAATATTCATCCCTAATTGATGGGCATTCGTTTAGAGCATGGGAGAAAGAAACAAGCCTTTCCGGCATGATGTGCTTTTTGGTACTCGAGTAGGAGGCAGCTACCGATCATATCGGATCAATCCTTGCACCTGTTTCTCGTAATATTGATAGCCGAGTGCCGGCACTGCAGGCAGACTTATTCGACCTGTGATGGCACGGTGGCACACGATGTTCTCATCTCGCCTTCCCTTGTGGAAAAAGGAAATACAGAAGAAAAAAATCCTAGCACAGAGCCCTTTAAAACATCGGCTTCGATAAATATCATACCAGTTGGGGGTTCGGGCGAAATCGCATCCCGGCTAACAACCTGATGTCTCCTAAAAGCGTGGGAGTGTTTATGAAGGAAATAGCGCAATCCTGACGATAAAATATTAGAAATTTATCGAACTGCATACCCTGCTGCGGGAAAAATCCTTTTGAATGATACTCTAACAGCAGGTTTGTGGGAGGTTTTTTCTTCAGGGTCAAGCACTTTTGGCCTTGGGAGTCCATATCAAGAATTCCGACCCGGCCCCAGTCCAGACGAGCCGGGCACTACGGAACCCAAGTCCAAATCAAAGGGGTGCCAAACGGGCCATTACCTACCCACTTTCACAAAACTCCGTCCCCATTCACACTTTTGTGTTGTCGAGCGAACACCCAGTTGGGAGAGGGGTCTCGGTTCGCCATCCACCCCTGCAATCGGGGGTACCGGCATTTCAAACGTTTTCCCCGTTGCGGGGTCCAGTGGGGGCGAGAGCGGTATTTCGAATACTGCCAACACAAACACATACGGCGCCGTGGGGTGCGACAGGAGCATCACGGATACCGCATCAAGGGTGCGCTGCTCGGGACGAGGCATAAACCAATGCCGGTATCGCGCCGGGACGGGCCACTTTTAAATCTCCCAGCCCTGGCAAAGGGTCCGCAATACAGGACCAGTACTCTCCAGGGAGGCATATTATGCGAGGGTGAGGGCCCGTGAGGGTGTTGGATGGATTCGGGTGGGTTCCGAATTCCGAAACGATAGTTACAGCAGGACATAAGAGTAATGCCATTGCGAACTCCTGTCGGGGCATGGTTCAATCGTGGTTTTTGCGTGCCAAGGTCCTTCCAGTTACAGAGAGCATCAGTTATGTTTGAAGACCACTAATGACCCCATCGCGATCACTCCGCCGTAGTAGAGTGCCAAACAGACAAGAATCTAGCAGTCGATATGTGCATTGAAAATCCCAAAACAAAAACGCCAGTATAAACATACTACTTTTGTATCCCCCCGCAGCCACACCAATTAGGCACAAACCCCCTCCCCCTCCCCCTCCCTCTCCCTCTCCTCTGCCCTCTGCCTCTTCCAAATCGCAACCCTTCGTCTGATATCCCCCAACGTCTGCTGATACACATTCATCTTCCGATCTCTTACCATCCCCTCGTAGTCCTCCCCATACTTTTCCACAAGTCTGGAAAGCCAATCCATCTCTCCAGGGCACAAAATTTTCTTATTCTTCCTCTCACCGACAGCAGCCTGGGCTTCCAACTCCTTGACAATGCCCGTTCCGCTGCCTCCTCCTCCAGCGCATCCCGTGAACTCTTCCTCTTGCCCGACTTCGTCAGAGTCAGAGTCCAGCGCTTCTTCGGCAGACTTGCCGTAAATGACTTGAATCACGCTCCCTTCCTCATCGCGGATGATACGTGCTTCGCCGGGCGCCAGCTTCTTCACCCTTTTCCTTCCCCCTTCATCTCGCCCCCCTTGCTGCGCAGCGGAAGAGGAAGCAGGCAGAGCCTTCTCAACACCCCCCGTCGGTTTCCCCAGCCTAGAAACTAATCCCAACCTCCGGTAATTCTGCGAGAGCGTTTGCTTACGATCCCTACACCATTCCGTTAACCAGTCAAATTCGGAAGCGCGGGCGGGGCAAGGAGCGGAGCGGGGCAAACCAGTTTGCGGCGATGAGGGCGTTCCCGGTCGGATGGACTTTGAAGATGCGCGGGTTCTTGTGCTTGGATTTCTTCGGGATTGAGCTCCTGTTTTTCTTCTTTTGGAGTTGGCGGCCCATTTTTTGTGGGTTTTATGGACTATGGAAGAATGGGAGGGGGGGGGGGAGTTGTTCAGAATTGTCTGCGGTGGTTGTGGCAATGGTAAATAGATGAAGGAATTGAGTGGGCGAGGTGACTGGATGCAGAGAAGAAAATTATTTTGCAAGTTGAGTGGCCTGTGGCGATGTGCGGGTAGGACAGGTTGCGATAATCGCTAGTACGAGTACCCTGTTGTCAGCCACTCTTATGGCTGACTGGAAGAAAAAAAAACCCCTAACCTTTACCAGTTCGTATTATTTGAGTGGCCGTGCGAACCGACTACGGTGCAAATAAACCACACCTCTTCATCAACAACAAAACCCCTCCCAACACCATAACATTATCACACAAGTACCATATCACACCGGAGTAAACCCCCAGAGCACCATATGGTCGCCGAGTACTGTACAGCACTCGAAGTCAACCCTCATGGGTAAATTCATCCCGCCCACACAACATACCGTAATACGTATCATACAAAACAGCATGACTTGGCAAAAGTAACCTACCCGTACAGTACGATGTGAAGCCATACTCGAGCATACCCTCCAAAGATATTTAGGTGTAGTCGGTTGAAGGAGGGAATGATATTCCTGTGTGGGTTTTCTCCCACGACCACAATTAAATCCAACATCGACCCCTTCGCCCCCCTCCAATCCTATAAACCCCATACCGGTACCGACAACTTTCCCACGATATGTGAGTGGTGGTGGTGGAATAACCGGACAAAAAAAAAATCAGCGAAAAAATAATTCAAGGCACGTACTTGCGAATTCTGTTGTAAGTTGTTATACCGGTGGTCCACCCGCCAGCCATCCCCTCCCCTCCCCCTCCCCCTCCCCTCCGTCTTGTCTTGTATGTACGAGTACTGCATCATACTTACCGGTAGACTACGACTATGATCCCACGAGTGAAAAGGTATGATATATATAAAATAAAATAAAATAAAAAAGTAGAACAAGGGCTCGGGTTTTGTGGTATTTTTATCATTATTTCTCTTCCAGGCGAATGTCTGTAGTATACAGGTATCGTATCATACATGCTGCTACCGTAGTGTGCCGGTATCGTGCAACTATTCCTTCACCATCGCACCAACTCTGCTGCGCGGAGCTCATGGGGAAAGCTTAGATTATGTGTCGGTAAAATTGCTGCTCGCGCATGGTGTGCAGTGCGAGCGGGTATCATACTGCTGACTGGGCCAACGACAGGCCGGTAATCCAGGGGGGGACTAGAAAAATAGCTTTCGCTTCATGGCAATCCATGATACTATATGCTGTGATGCTTTTTTTTTTTCCTCTTCCCCATAGCGTGCCATCTAATGTATAATCTCAAAGCAATGTCAAGTGCCAAGAGATCGTCACCGGGGAGGAGAAAAAGAAGACAAAGAAGAAACCTCTCGTTTATTTATCATTGTATCAAAAGAGTGTTTTGTTTAGAAAAAAGAAAAAAAAAACACACACAAGTCCCCCCTTCGGCTTCGGTCCGGGCTCAATGACAGATATCTCCCACATCCGAGTATCTGCGTCCGTCTATCTGCCTTCCTTCGTACGGCCCAATTCCAGTCCCAATTCCGATATCTCCAATGAGCAAAATAAGGCATTGAGTGTATACCACAAAACGAGATGAGACGAGAAAAAAAAAGGACCCCAAATGTAAATGTGAACGAACGAAAAGAAAAGATAAAGATAAATAGTGAATGCAGGTATCGTCAGAATAAGTGGGAGAGAAAAAGAGAAGAGGAAAGAACATAAAAAGCAAAGCAAGTTTAATAAGCGTCCACCCCTCCAACATAAAAGAAAATAAAATGGTAAAGATATTAGAGGGCGATCTTAAGACCTTGCACCTCCAAAGAATCGTTAATATAAAGCGATTGATTGATTGTGCGCGCGAGCGCGGCAACGCAAGGCATGAGAATCCCTAATAGCGGCCCGTTGTGATATTCGCTTTGTACAATACAACGCCATCGCGGGAACCTCCCGCGACAAACAGGAAAGAGACGATGTGGGTATGCCGATGTAAGGGAAAAAGGTGAAGGGAAAAAATGAAATGAAATGAAAGGGCTAGAGAGAGGGAGTGTTGGGGGCATTAACTAATAATGAGTGTATCGGTGAGGTGATGTCTTTTTTGGATTCGTAAAAATTAAAAGGGAATATTTATATAAAAAAATAAAATTGATCCCGCCGTCAATGGTAAAAGAAAAACTCCGCTGAATGAATTTGAGAAGAATGGAAAAACGAGAAACGAGAGAAAAAGGGAGGGGGATAAGTATAATAGATGGAAAATTGAAAGGGTCATTACAACGTTGTCATAATTAAACATTTAGGAAGAGGGAAACGAGCGCTGCATATGACATCAAGGAAATATAAAAATCATCTTCGCTGCTGCGTACTCATACTGTCCGACTCATCGTCCTTCACCAATCTGATGGAAGCACTTGTTCCTGCAGAGCCCCTGAGCCCAGATCGACTACTTGAGGGAGTAGGGAGTTTTCCACTAACAGCTCTTGCAGCTCTTGGGAGACTGCTACCCACTGCACTGGCCCCCGTCCCAACGACAGCACCCACAGAATTTCTCTTCACGCCGGTCATACTAGATCCACTAGGGTTCCTCTTGACAGCACCGTAACCTTTCATAGGAGACGACCGCTGGGTACTGCTATTCTGACCTGTTGCCGCCGAACTGGGACCCAGTCTTGTTTTCTGCGCCGAAATCGCTGGTGGATCCGGTAGCGGTCTCGAGACGGAGGCACTATAGCTTGTGGATGGCCCGGATGGCGGAGCCGGATGCCGCTTCATCGGTGGATCGCCAGACAATGGGCCAGCGGTTCGAGGACGTGACAAGGTCTTCCTTCCGGTAACGAAGTCGTGATGCATGGCTTCATCTGGCTTCATCCTCTTGTCTGGATCCCATCGAAGACACCTCGTGATAAAGTCTAGGAAGGCCTCATCATCGCACCTAAGAATGGCAGTAAGCGTTTTAGAGCTTGGCCGCCGGCGCTTTCCTTTGGACGAGACAATCATCCGAGGCTTGCCAAACGAATCTAGGTGACATTAGTAAGAAAAGAAAGAAAAAGTAGAGAATCTTAAGGGAAAACTAACCAAAGAACAGCTTCTTTCTTGTGCTCTTTTCAATCAAATGCTTCTCTGGGGGGCCGAAAACTTCCATGATACATGCCAACTGTTCCTGTTCATTCTCTCCGGGAAAGATAGGGTACCCTGTCAGTAGTTCCGCCAATATGCAACCCAAACTCCACATATCGATTGGCATCCCGTAAGTCATACCAAGTATGACTTCCGGTGAACGATAGAACCGGGACTGAATATAAGTGTACACTGTAAGGCTCGTAAGTTACCATGCTTTGCACATACGACAAGACTAGTAGAGAGAAAATCACCTTTCTCATGCTCAAAACAGCTGCTTCCAAAATCGATGACTTTAATCTCCGATTTAGCAGGGTGGGCCAGCAATATATTCTCTGGCTTCAAGTCACAATGAATAACACGATGTCCTTTGAGGAGGACCAAACTGCTCAGCATTTGCTTGGTAAATCTTCTAATAAGTCGCAAGGAGAACCCTTTGAAGTCGTTGGATTTGATGAACTCGTAGAGATTCATGCCTAGCAATTCAGTTGAGATGCACAAGTGTCCGCGGAAATAAAAAGATTGCGTAAAGTTGATAAGGCTATGCTTTCCGTGAGGATCCTATATTCCTTATCAGCATGCCAAAAGGTTTCTAATGCCAGGCGTCCAAGCACGGAAATCATACCCATTCCTTCAACCTCTGCAAGATATTGACCTCGACCAAGGCCTGCTGATGAAATCTCTTCTTGTTCCGAATGATTTTGACAGCTACAAGCCCTCCTGTTTTGTGATCAATGCACCTAACCACTTGGCCAAAACTGCCCTTTCCGAGAATGTCAACAATCTCATATCTGTATGCCAGATGGTCTCCCTTCACGATAGTATAGTCGCCCCGCTCGTCATCATATCCAAAGTTTGGCATAGTAGTCGAATTAAGATCCCCAACATGCTTCTTTGCAGCCAGAGTCCCAGTGAAATAAACCTCTTTGAAATCCACAATCTCCCCACGCTCGTAGATGTTGAGAACGACGGTCCGAAGTGCCTGCGGCGCAGACATTCTGTCCTTTGGCACAGCCCTGCGTTTCAGCTCCTCCAATTCTTGAGCCATAGCATCCAAATTCTTGCGCTTGCTAGCAATCCGCCTCATTTCCTCCTCTGCCATCATATCATCATGGTCCATGTTCGGGTCCGTAAGAACTGGTACCTGGTTTCTATTGCGCAGCTGCCCCAATGAACCTTTACTGCCCAACATTTTGGACATGGGGCTGAGAATTGAACTGGCTGCCGAGTTCTTGGCCGGGGGCAGAGGAGGTTGTGCTTTCTCTACATTTTCCGCTCCCTCGGTTCCCCAACTATTACTGCGGGCATGGTCGTGTTGCCCGACAAGAATACCATTCCCAATCGAGCTCTTCCTCCTACCTTGACCCCCTGCTGCTGCTGCACCCTGTGGCCCTCTCACTGGACTAGGTGGTTGATGCATAGGTCCCGCCCATGTTGCAGAAGGTGGTAGCTTGGGTGGTGGCATATTATCATATTTGGAGGCCGCTTGGTACTCATCCGCTCGCTCAGTTGCGGCATGGCTATGCTTGCTAGAACTGCTCTTCTTCCAACTCAAGCTTAGCTTCCTGCGAATCGAACTTGAACTAGAAGGCGTGTCCGGAACATCATCTTGTGCATTCCTTAGCGAGTCTTGACTCTTCCTAGCTCTGCTCTTATTACTGTCTCGTGAAATTGACAGCGGCATCCCTAAGATCCTTGCACCCTTGTGGTCACCAGTCTTGCCCTCATGTTCGACACTCTTGGGCAAAGAACTAGATATATATGGGCTAATGGTTTGTCTCCCCATCCTGCTACTTGCTGAAACCGGAATGCTACTGCTAGCGCTAGAGCCCGCTCTCAAAGACATACTTGATGGGCTGTCGCCCATAGGTTGCACAGTTGCATTATTGATGGAACTCGTGCTCCGGTGATAGGCCGCTTCGTCCCGGTCCCTCCTACCAAAAAAACCCGCCTTAGAAGCTGTCATTGGAGTGCTTGGGGTTTTTATGCTCCTCTTTGGAGGTGGCGTCAATTCCTCCGAATCCGATTGCGGGCCAAGCGCATTGACCCGAGCGATTGTAGGCGTGCTCAAGGGTAGAAGGTTCAACGGTGGAAGACGCAATGGCACAAGATCCTTTTTTCTCAAGCTTGAAGACGAACTCTTAGGCTCTAATGTCTGCACCGCACCGCCCAGACCCATACCTCCCAATGTCATTCCACGTTTCCTCCTCGTCTCCTTATCCACCTTTACAATCTTTTCCTGCTTCTCTGGCTTTTCTCTCTTTGCCTGCCGCTCCTGTCTCGCTGGCTTCCGGGGGGTTTCCGGAGCCTTGGACTTTTCAGGGACCTCAGGTTTGGTTGAGGTGTCCAGGAAGGGCTCCATATCAAACATCTCAGGTTCCATTGGCAAGCTAGATTTCCGCGGACCGAACATACCATCCCCGCTCCTCCTGCCCCCATTATTTGCAAAATCTGGAAACTGAAGTGTGCCAGGATAAGTCCCGACCTGCTCAACTGGAGAAACCAAATTCTTTGGCAAAGGGGGAACAGGGGGTATCTCCTCCTCCCGTTCTACAGCAGCTCGCGGTGGTTTTGGTAATCTAGAAGCTGCGAATGTCTGGCTCAGTTTGGGTTGCAAGGAGGTCGAGCCTATAGAGGTTCGAGCTGAAGTGCTTGTAGAGGCAGTAGACAGTCCTGAACTATAAGACTTCCTTTGAGGCTCGGGTGTAGTTGCAGATGAAGAAGGGGTGATGCTCTTTCTGAGAATCATTGAAGGACTTCCCGGTGTCGATCTCGCTGACTCTACGTTAAATGGCATTGAGGGGGGAGTCGGCGTATGGATAACTGAGAGCCTCTTGAGCCTCCTAGCATCCGTAGGACTGACCGTTCTGGCACCTAATCCGGAAGCATGTGGAATTGTGGATATCCTACGAGAGGATCCCGACATCGGGATACCTGATTTTCCCGGGGTCCCAAGCTTGCTGACGCTTGGAGATTTCGGAGACTTTGGAGGATAAGCTATCGATGAGTGTCGGGCATGTTCAGGAGTTAGTGACGGCTTCAGTGGTTGTCCCAGCTGTTGCGTCTTTGGAGGGGGCTGCAGAGACTTTGACTTGGTATTCCTAGAGGAAATAGGTGCTTTATAACTTGCGTCCAAGTTCCTAGAATAGCCACTCCCAGGAATATATTCTTTCTGCAGCATTGGTGGGGTTAACGAGCTACCTGTTGTTGGTGCAGCATTCGGCCTCCTCCGCTGTCCAGCTCTGATGGAATTTTCCGGCTCGACCGTTGTTGCCACTCTGCGATAAGTGGATGACGATGTTGCAGATGATAGGTTGGACGCGTTGCTCTGTCTTCGATTCCGATCCCGATAGTTGTCCTGGGCTTGAGCGTTGTTTGAATACTTGGAGACGCTAGGCCTTCTGAGAACCGATTGGTTTGCCTGGTTTACCGAAGAACCCGCAAAAATATTTTGATGACCCTCCTCCCGAGCGGTACCACGGCCAGCACTCCTTTCCGCATCGCCTCCATTTCCGGCGCGCCCCGGTGCAGGAAATCGGCTTAACTGATCATTGTCAATGATACCCCGATGAACATCCTCCAAACTTACAGACGAGGGAAAACTAAACGGCTCGCCAGCTTCCCGGACTCCCTCCGAGCTCTGCCCAAACGCATAAAATGTTGTCACGTTACTTTCAGAAGAGCCGGGTGGTTGGAGATGTGCGCGAGAGCTGTTACTAGCAATACTATTGGCGGGAGAAGAAGTATGTTTAGAAGAAGCGTCATTATCCCTACAAAGCCCACAACCATCAGACCGACTATTCGAAGGTCGGGACAGAAATTGCCATCAGAAATAGGAAGAGACTTACGATTTCAACGAATAATCCTGTCCTCTTGTGATCAGGGGTTTTTGATCATTGCGGTGGGAACGCGCAACTTTCTGTGGGGACCGAGGCTCCCTCAAGGAAGGCCTCGACCGAGGGAGGTTGTTGGTTTCGGGGTGGGATTTTTGAAGACGCTTGCGTTGTCTTCCTTCTGCTACACCGTTGTTATCATCAGGATCGCCCTCACCCTTGGTGGTGGAGTCCAAAGCCCAAAAACGAAAGCCATTCTCACCCAGTGAAATAGAACTCGTACTCGAATCGTCCCCCTTTGACGATGCAGGGGAGTCCCGGCGCAGAGAGTAAGTTGTGGTGGTCGTGGTCGTGGTCGTTGGGTTCGTCAAATTATTAGATGCGGAGTGCTGTGGTTGCTGCTGTACTCGAACCGGCATGACGGATCACAACGCTCTTCGAGAAGGAGCGTTGGTGACGGTTGACAGGTGAAATGGAATCCCCAGCGTGTATCGTGAAAGGAAAAAAGAAACTTGATAAAAAATTGAGTAACGAAAGGGGGAGGCTGTGGATTGTCGTGTCGAGGGGGGGTGAGAAAGAGAGAATAATCAATGACCCCGGTGGTGGAATGAAAAGTACAGGAGGGGTGGGAGAGACAAGAAGGAACGAGGGAAGCAATTTTGTGGAGATAGATGAGAGATCTGTCACTCGTGTATACAGATCTTGGACTAACTAGACGTTGAATCCGTGACGCTGTGACACATGGTGGAGATGAGAGAGAGCGAGAGAGAGAGAGGTGGTGGGTGAATGAATGAATGGAAGCGTGAGGGTGGTGGAGGTTAAGCCGGGATCAGAAGGTGCGGTCGAAGTCGCTGGGATGGGATGGAGGCGTGGGTTTGGGCGCTGGGCGTGCTGGAAGCAGACAGAGAATGTACGGGTAGTCCGTAACCGTAGCGATGCGAGATCTCAGGGCCGCGGATTTCCTCTGGAACGATCAAGGGCCAAACAGAGAGAAAAAATACACAAAAAGAGGGAGAGGGGGAGAGCTAGCTAAGTTACAAGCACTTTGATACAGGTACTTTTTTCTCTTCTCCCCGTTCTTCCTCCCCTTCTTCTTCCCTTTTCCCCTTTTTGTATGATATCTCCCTCTCTTGTTTTCCCTTCCCTCCGATATTTATTGCTGTGTCTCCCCGAGTTGTATTTTCCTGCTCTTTGCGAGGAAAACCCGAGGCAATCCTGGATGGTGCTCTCTCTCTCTCTCCTTTCCAGCCCCTTTGCTAGCACTAGAAAAAAGAGAGATAACCGGTACGGTAGGCGGAGGTGAGGGAGGAATTAGGTAGGCGGAGGGGAACACAGGCGAGGAAACGAAGTGAAGAGGGCTCAGGGGAACATGGGGAAGGAGGAGGGACAGTTAATGAGCGAGGTTGCCACAGAAGAGAATCCCCAATCCTTGTCCACTCTAATTGGTTAATTTCTTACACAGCAGCACCTCCGCAGCCTCAGGGAAAATACTCGAGCTTAAAAAAAAAAAACCTGATAGTGAGAGAGAACCTGTGGATTCCATTCCTCTGGTTTGTTCGGTTTACTTGCCTTCTTTCTGTTGCTGCCACATAAAAAAAATTACGGGCTATCATAGAAACAGGGAATACGATAGGTTGATCGGTTGCCGTGGCAATGCAGAGGTTGATGCATAAGTCATGGCTTTGCCTCTGGTTGGTTTTAGCGAGCTCTCCTCCTTTTGTTCTCGTCCACCATCATCCTTGTGGAGGTGGAGCTGCGAGTACTCGAGTACCGTGCCCGAGTGCTGTGCGGTACCGCGCCATACGGTGAAAGGCGATACGGTATGACACTGGGGTGTGCTGACTCCTGCCGGTACCGGTATCCCCAAGCAAGCAGTCATCGCCGTTGTACCCGCCAATCCCGGTACAGGCAATAACAATTACCGTCCTCGTCCAATACTTGTACCCTGATGTGAAACTAAGATGCCGATACACCGGTACAGTCTTCGAGTACAGTACGGTACGGTACCCGTACACGGCACCGGCAGTGCACCCCCTTCCAGCTGAGAGGCGCTGTGCTCTTTCGCTTCTCGCTTACCCATCACACGAGCTTTCTCCTCGAGCTTTCGTACCAGTACTCGTACAAATGGGTGAAACTACCGGTACCGGTGGCAGGAACTCTCCAGTTTCACCTCAGGTTTAGCCTTTTTAAGCCCTGCGGAATCGGAATTTGGGAGCAGGCTTGAGTTGAGTGTAGGAGCTATTGCGGGGGAAGCTCATGCATTCCAATGCGAGCCTCCAGGATTGCAGCGATGGCCAGTGGACTGCTTTCCGGTCGGGTAAAGCTCTCCGCCTGTTCCGCGCGGGGAAGGTTCAAGTACGGTATGATGGTGAAAGGAACAGCGGCATTTCCCGTCAGTGAGGCAGCATCGCAAACCCCTGCGACCAAAAAGCTGTTCTCGAGTAACACAATATTCCCACTTGAAGCAGTTAACCACACCCCCATGCAGAGCCGGGTAACTTGTTTGTGGCCGTATCATACTGTAAGACGTCATCCTAGCCTTTGGCACATGCTCGAAGTCCCAACTTGAATCCACGAGTATTTCTATCATAATACCTATCATACCTGGACTCTTCCTTCACTTGGCCCTCTCACCCGCTGCCCTCACCCCCCCCTCCTCCCCCCCTTTGCAAATACATACCGGTGAACCCCAATAAAATCCCTCCCTCCCCCTTGCTTCCGGAATGGACGACTCTCTTACTGTCGATTACGACCGGTACAGATCAGACCCCCCAAGCTACTCGGAGCAGCAGCAACAGCAACAGCAGCCTCAGCAACCTTCCTCATCTTACGCCTCGCCTCTGCCTTCGCCGTTGCTTGAGCTCGGTAAAAATCTCGGCTTCCGCAAACCACTCCACCCGCACCACTCCAGCAGACCACAAGGGCCCGAGGAAGATGTGGCTGTCGAAGCTTCGGGCTCGGGCAGCACAAATACAGGCCTTCAGGAGCGCATGCTTTCAAAGGTATTACAGCAGATGCTACCAAGCGACTATTCGGTAGAGGATTATCAGGAGCCCCGGGACAAAAGGAAGGACAAGGATAGACCTCAGTTCAGTTTAACGCTGATGAGTGGTAATTTTAGGAAATTTAATGCAAGGTGACGGTTAATCCTTTTCTTAGTCCATGAAAAAAATTTGACGTCCGGAGTATCGTTGCGCAGGATTGGCGTTGTGTTTGTCTTCCAACATCGCTTGTTTCGGCTCCTGCAATGGCGGAAGCCCACGCACACCATGTCGGCATTAGCTGTGTACTCTTTTGTTTGCTTGGATCCGTACCTTCTCGCAGTTCTTCCAGTAGCCGCAGTTCTGCTCTTTATCATGGTCCCCAGCTTTATAACGAGACATCCGCCGCCGCCGAGTATGCCGATGGAAAAATATACTGCGCACGGCCCGGCGATCGCGCCACCTCCCGAGGTCAAAGCAGTCAGTGAGATGAGCAAGGTAATATTGACTCTACAGAATTGCCGATCACCGAGGGGCAGGATTGATGAGCATTCTCAATTTTTAGGATTTTTTCCGCAACCTTCGCGACTTGCAGAATACCATGGATGATTTCTCTATTGCCCACGACAAGATAATTTCTCTAGTGGGCCCTCCAACTAACTTTTCCGACGAAGTCATTTCCTCAGCTGTCTTCATCACCTTATTCTTCTTATCCATTCTCCTATTCATCACAGCGGCTCATCTCCCCTGGCGCACGATCTTCCTGGTAACGGGTTGGATCGTCTTCTCTATGGGACACCCAACCCTGCAGGATATACTTGTAGACGCGCATAATACCCATATTTTACCACACGAAGCTTCGGCTTCCGCAACAGCAGGCTCGTTCATCCACAGAGACATCATCCTCGATGCTGTTCCCGAATGCCGTGAAGTTGAGGTATTCGAATTACAAAAACTCACATCCGGCGGGGAGTACGAGTCATGGATATTCTCGCCCACACCGTATGAGCCCATGAGCGCCCAACGGATAGCGCACGAGAGGCCCAAAGGGACCAGATTCTTCGAGGATGTCAAGTGCCCCCCCGGCTGGGAGTGGAAAGATCGAAAATGGACTCTCGACCTGGGCAGTACCATTTGGGTGCGGGAGAGGTACATTGGTGGGGTAGAGATTGAAGAGGAGGGTGAGCGGTGGGTCTACGACAGAGTGGAAGGCGAACAGGGAGTGCGAGGAGAATGGAGGCGCCGGAGGTGGGTGAGGCAGGTTAGTCGGAAATACCAGATGAGGATCGGCGAAAATTAGAGCGGTAGTATACGCTGTTTGAGCATGCCTCTTCTTTTTCTATTGCTATGGTAACGGGGCGTTTGGCAGCTGTGATATAATGGGTCTTTTATTTTTTCTCTTTTTTCCTCTTTTCCCCTCCTTCCTCCCCCCTAGGTTATTTTGTGGGTTAAGTACTGTACGTAAATATAGCTCCAGATTTTTCAAATGGAGGCGTGTCCACGGTCTATCACTCGATTTTGTGCTGGATGTCACGATATCTTTACTCGGAGAGGACCGGTCAAAGTGGACCTCGACCGGATAACAATGCTGTAGGAGGATCCCAAGCACCACGTGCATCGTGTCCACCTCTCACAGAAGCAAGGCCGAGGCTCTGCCGTGCCGTGCCGACACTCCCGAGGTCCGGTCGAGCATTCCCCTGCGATAGTATCATACATACGGGAATCGTACCGAAGGGCTACGATAGCCGTCACAAACAATCCCACCCACAAATGTCCCTGCACCCCATTCAATAAGCACAGCATGATACGTAACCGCCCAATCCGCGCAACGGGTAGCCACAGCGGCTAAGCGGAAATCCCCCCCCCCCGGCAGTCGATGGGGCACAGTACGATATCGGTATTGGAAATAAGTCCTCTGTGCTCGAGTACACAACAAGCGGGACCCAAAAGGTGAACGGGGTACTTTACAACTAGTTCGCGCCAAAAAAACAAACAGCCTTATTCCAGCAATCACCAATTGCAAACCTTGAATAGATTTACTCGAGTAGATTCTCTGAAGGGTAGCAGTACGGGTAGAGTACCGGTACTGTACGGTAGCTATAAAGTTAGTCTAATGGCCCGAACATTCCTCAAACTTGTGCCAGGACACTCTTTTGGGGGGGTGGGAAAAGCTATTATACGTCTTGGCGGAATTTGAACGTTCAACTGTACGAATGCCGGTACCGGTACTCGTGCATAGCTGATGCTAACTTACTCTTGTGTAGTTTAGGAATATATAGAAAATCATGTCGTTCAGTGGTTTTCCACGGACAATCCATATCTCCATCTGTGAATTCTCTCCAGTTTGAATGGTCATTTATCTCTCTACTCGTAGGTAACATTACACGTATCATACCTACGGTACCCTACTCGTACTCACTCCAACTTTTTCAACCCCCACATGTACTCGTACAGTACTGTACTCATATCATACTCGTACTGTACACCCAAGCTCGATAACTTGCCGCACACGCCCCACCCCACCCACACATTTACCGATTCTAAACGTCGTCGCAGAAGGCGTTTACAATATCATTGCGGCGCAGAGAGCCGGACAGAACCCACGCCACAGGGCAAATCTCTATGCTAAAATAGAAAACAAAAAAAGTGGGGGAGGGGGGGGGGGGGGGGGGTATGCATATGATATGGTATTCGGTCCCGGCAGAAATCAGCGGTAGAAAACGAGTTCCCGTTATCGGACTGCTAGGAATACCGGTAGCTAGTCTAATGGACGATTTTGGAAAGTGCGTGTACGAGTAGTGTGATAGTGCTGTACCGGTTTTATGCTGCCCTTCACGATTACAGTACGAGTAATGAATGAATGGGCTTGGTGGGGAGTGGAGGGGGGAGGAGGAGGAGATCTGAAAATTTTAGCAACCGGGGAGGGTGCGGTACGGCACAATGCAGTACATACCGGACTCGTACTGTACTGTACTGGTCGAACGGATGGATGGATTACATCGTCACTATGGATGGAGCGAGCGGGGTACAGTACAGTATGATGCTCGTATCATATCGTACGGATACTTGTATGATATTGTAATCACCACCGAGAGTGGTGATAATGGTCACTAATCTATTGGGAGCATCGTGTGATATTATCGTGCAACATCATATCATACATCGATAACTGAGTTACCGCTGGGATAGGGCCCTATCGAAAACGAAAACAAAAAGAAAAAAGAAACCGTCACAGTATCGTACATACACCACCACCGTATTCGAGCAAAATTATTCATCGCGCCCACCCCCGGGTTTTGTGCGGTGTGCGGACCCTGTTTCCTCCCATGTACCGTATCCCACCGCGGGTAACTTGGATAGATTACGACAACGAGTGGCTCGACGCTGACCATTGCAACGTTTGCAAAAGTCGCTCTACGGAGGGGGATACCCCTTCCAGAGTTATTCTGGTATGGGACATCTCACCGAATTCTAGAGATGGGGGGGGGGGATGGGTAGGAGGAGCTGGTACTTGTGCTCGAGGAGGTATGCGCTTTGGTGCTGCTCCGGCCGCGGTGAAGTTTTTCTGGGGTCTGGACTACTCTACTCGTAGTCCCGGTTGGTGATATGGTGTGCGGGGTCGATTAGCGGCTAAGTTATGTAGCGTGCTATCATGCATGGCCAGAGGAATGGAGTGCTCGTACATTCCTTGCCACTTGGAAGCAGCTGCTCGCTTCCAAGAACGGACACATCCGGTCCCGGTAGCCTTGTTCAATGGGCTAAGCGGACTGGAGTCCGCCCGGAATTGTAGATCAAGGGGACATGTTTTTGCGGTGCCTAACCGCCCCTGTACGAGCAGACCATGGGAAGTACCGGCATTTTGTATTCATCCAAACCTAACCCAGGTCACGTGCATCTCGAGTGAGACACCATGATCGCTCCATTCACTTAAAAATTATCATCGGGACCAACATCGTGAAATCCACTGGTAAAGCATGATCAAAGACGCCTCCCCATTTTAAAGAAAGAAAGCCCAACCATCTAAACCTCAAACATCTCCCTAAAGTTAACCCCGTACCCTCCTCCGGCCGTCATGTCCAGTCTCCACCCCTTCCAATTCGCCAACCCCCGTTTGACTTCCTTGATCCTCTCGAGCCTCTGTGCCTCCATCTGCCTCCTCTCTTCCTCCATCTGTGCGGCATATAAATGGTCGCCGCCACCACCGCGCGGGTAGTGCTGGTCCTCACCAGCGTTCAGGTCCACGTCCAGGAATTCCTGTTGGTGCTGCTGGGCAGAGTGCGGCGGTGCGGATGCAGACGCAAGCCTCTGCTTCTCGCCAGTGTACCAGCGGCTGCGCTCCTGTTGCAGCTGCTGTTCCAATTGCCGGATCCTTGCCTCTAAGCGCTTACGTCCATCGTCTTCAAGCTCGTCGACGAGTTCGTCGTCCTGTGGCATCGAGCCGGTGCCCCGTCTTGCGTCGCTCATGGCCTTCTCGAGGCTGCTCCTTAAGTTGGCTTGTTCGGACTCCAGATGGGCAGTGCGCTTCTTCAGCTCCGAGACTTGAGTGGTTAGATCTTTGTTCTCTCTTTCTAGAGCCGAGGCCTGCTTCTGCAATTCTTGACCCTTCGTATCTGCGTCTCGATACATTGTCTTTAGAGTGTTGTGATCCTTTTCCCAAGACGATATACTAGCGGCTTGGCTCTTTGCAGTTGCATTGGCTGATTCAAGCTCTGCTTGGGTAGATGTGACTTTTGTCTCTGCAGAGCTCCTAGCAGCACCCTCGGCAACGAGGCGTTCGGCAGCCTTATCCAGCTTCTTCTTGCTTTCCTCAAGCTCTTTTGTAAGGCTCTCCTGAGATTCCTCCAGACCCTTAACCCTGCTCTCAGCCGTGGCAAGCGCGGATTGACTTTCGGCAAGACTCTTGTGAGCTCTCTCGAGGTCACCCCGAAGCTTACTTATGTCCATCTCCATGTTCTCAATCTGGTCCTCCTTGGCAGTGAGGGATTCCCTGTCCTGCGTTGAGGAAGATGAAGACGAATGAAGTTTAAGATCTGAGATAGCTTTATCCCTCTGCGAAATCTGGGACGTGAGATGTGACGTTTGCCGAGTGAGAGTTGCAACTTCTGATTTCTAATGACCCAACCCCAATCAGCCAAACCCCGGCAATATCACTCCCGAACTCGATGCTCACCAATTTCCCAAGCTCCTCTTCCCGAGCCTCCTTCTCAATGGCCGCAGCTTGAGCCCTCTCAACAGCCTCCCTAAGCTCCGTCTTCACACCAGCCAAAGTCTCCTGCGCCTCATCTTTCTGAACGATGGCTTCGCCAAGCTTCTTCTCCTTCTCCTTCAACCTTTCCACCTCCGCCTCCAGTCTCTCGACCGACTCCGTAAGCTCCGATATCGTGGTAGCCTGTTTCCGGTAGATATCCGGTACCATCTCCCCGGGACTCAAGGGGCTCTTGTTCGAAGATCGTATAACGTCGGCGGCGGTGATGGACGGTCTCCGAAATCCCGAAGCCGACTGACGTCTGGCATGCATCGATGCAGCTCTAGAGTGGGCTGCAGTCCCCGCACCGCCAAACGAGGCAACCGGCGGATCCGCAGGGGTCGCGGGTGAGGATGCGTCCGAATTAGCCGTCTCCGCTGCGGCGGCAGGAGGAGGGGCTTCAGTAACCTCTTCCGCCCCTGCCACTAGCCCTTTCGCACTATCGCCCAAACAAGCACGTTAGGAGTGACGTCCTGGAGGGGGTTTGACTCGGCATTGCTCAGCTACTGACTCTTCCTCTACCGGCTGTCCCTCAGCCGGGGGAGGCGTTCCCGGCGTTCCCGCTCGCTCCGCTTGCACAGGAGATTTACTCGCTTCGCCCGCTGTAGACACTGGAGCTGCCGAGCCCTTCTTCTTCCCCTTCTGTTTCTTGAGTTGCTCGAACTAGAATATTCGCAACACCACCCCCCCTCGGTGCCGGAAGCGTCAGTTCAATCGACAATGCGCCTTCCAACCCAACCCTCAATCTCGACCCGGAAAGGGGGATGGGCGGGGGGGATGAGTACTCGTGGGTATCAGGCGGATATTTTCAATCGGCAAACCCGTGCAATCCAAATTGCGCGTGACAATGGCTCCACTCACCCTTTTCTTTGCTGCGGCTATCTTCTCAGCCTTTGCTGCATCGGTGTCGGCCATCTGGATGAGAGTGTGCGAGGTAGGGATACCGGTGGATACTGGACCGCTTTTGCCCCGCCACAAGGGCACAATTCAGCGGAAAAGACGATGAGGAAAAGGGTGAAACAGGGCAAAGGTAGAGCTCAGGGTATGACAAATTTCATGTACAAGTAGGTTATGTCTATGAATGACACGATAGAAGGCGGTTCTTTTGTCGGCCAGTGGGTAACCAGGCTGTCCTGGGTAGTGTGTGTTAGGGGGGGGGGGGAATGAGGTGGACAAAAGGCGGGAACTCCAGCTTGTCATGGTCACCCTTCAAGGCAAACAGCCACCATCCAAGCCAATCCGCAATTTCTGCTCTTCCCTTCCAAAAGGGGACACCTATTACCCGGACGCAGGGTGCAGGGATGGAAGTTTGGGGGCGACAAGTGCGAGTATTGCAAGTATTGTACAAGTATCATCATGCCAGCAAAAAAAGCTGGAACCTTCACTCCCCGAGTGGCAGAAAGCAATAATGACGACAGTACAAGTGGAAGGAAGAAAGAGAAGAGCACACTTTCCGCGTGTTATTGATACTGATACCGATCTCCCACCCAATTCTTTGTTTTTTCCCCTCCCTTTCGCCACTCACCACTGACCTTGCTTCTTTCCATTTCACACCTTTTCACACATCACGATGAGCTCCAGTGCAAGTAGGGTATGATACCATGAGCGGCGGAAAAAAAGGAAAAGGAGAGAAAACCTGCACAACATAATTTGACAAACGGGAGATCGAGACTCAGACACAGCGCGGGAGATCAAAGTGGGAGAAATCCGAGGGGTTATAATACCGGTAGGAAAGAGGAAAAGAAAAAAAAAACCTGAATGAGAATGAAACGACTGTAATCACAATCCCTCCTCCAAGTTCCCTTCCCACTTTCCCACCCCCTCCCCTCATAATAACCCTTTTTTTTTTCCCTCTCTCTTTCTCAATCCCGATCTCTCGGCTTTTATATAGTTATGATAGATGGATGGGCCATGCTCCAGATAGAGCCTTTTCTCACGCGACAAAACCCTCCTCTCTCCCCCTCCTTCCACTCTTCCCCTTTCCCTCTTTCCTTGAGCCTATCGTACACTTGTTTTCTCCCCTTCAGCCTTGGTTCTCCGTTACGCTTGCCGCACTCACATTTGGTGATACTTTCTACCGAGCCACGGCGTGGAAAGCTAACCCGCCTCCCACTGTGCCCACCAATCCCATAGCATACTGATACCCGCACTACCTATCATACTCGCGTGCCCACCGCTAATTAAATTTATCCACTTCCTCCCCGAACAAACACCATACCACCCCGCACCGGAAGGGAAAAACCCACCCTCCGAAACCTTACCCGCCCCCTCCTCTCTCTCTCCCTCTCTAACATCCTTCCTCTCACACAGCTAAAGCACGACCTCTTCTTTTTTTTAATACATAATATTATATACATATATATAATATAAGACGAGAGAAGCAAGGAAGGATCACAAGCAATCATGTCAACCACACCAACAGCCACCGCCGCCACCATCCCCTCCTCTCCCGTCCCCCGCAGCCCCGAATCAGAACCGCTTCAATCCCACTTCGCCAAACTCGCCCAAGGCCCCATAACCACACACCTCACCGATACGAACGCGATCCCCATCCTCTCGACCCATCCGCAACCCTCCTCGCCCGGTCTCTCCTCGCTCTCGTCCGCCTTCGTACAGGCACACGACACAGCCTCCAGGATGGGGCTGGGGAGGCCGCTACGCGTCACGTTAGCGACCACTTCTGGTGCCGCCGTCATCCAGACCGCTACAGTTGATGAGGGGAGTGGAGGAGGGGAGGAAGAGGGTGACTACGCTGGTGGTGTTGGTGGTGGTAGTGGTGGTGGTGGTGGTGGTGGTAATGGTGGTGGTGGAGGTGGAAGTGCTGCTGGTGGAGGAAGAGGAGGTGGTGGTGGTAGTGGAGAGATGTTGGTTGGGACGGTGATTGCTAAGGTGGATAGATTGGCTGAAGCGAGGATGGTCAGTTGGGGTGTTGAAGAGGTTGCTCGGAGGTTTCAGAAGAGTGCTGCGGGTGATGGGTTATAATCCACTCTCGGCCTGTGGAATGAGATGAGGGATGTATGGCGGTGATCCGACGGTTCATGTTGATGACATGACACCTTTTTCCACTTGACTTGTCTTGCAGCTTTAACACTTTCCTCCCTTCCCTGAATACGCTCTCATACGAGGTGGTGGGTAAGTAAGCAAGGGTGTAATGGGGGGGGTAGTTTGCCTGTTTGCCTGTTTTTGCTGTTTCATCATCATCACCGCGCTGTACCGATAATCATTCGGCGTTTTTTTTTCTTCTTCCTTCTTCCTTTTTCCTTTTTCCCAACAACAAATAATCCTTACAGCCATTATCTTACCTATCATACGCACTATTACTCCTCCTAATACTCTTTTTTCATTATCATACAAGCGCAAAGAAGAAGGAAAAGCCAACGGTGTGCTCGTACTAGTGGGAATGTAGCACTCAGCCCAGATACTGGTAGGGCAAGATGGGAAACGAGAATGGAATGAAAAAAACACTTTACTGTGCCACCACATAAGACTCCTCACCGTGTGCTTTGCTCGCTTACCTTGGCCTACCGTCACGGTAATTCGCCTCCTATAGTACTCGTACAGTGCCACACAAACGAAAATATCAACATCAATTTCAACACCAGCGCCCACCAAATCTACCGACACATTTTACCATCACCACCACCATCCCATACCGTGCTACCAGCAGACGCAAGTTCCCATCACTACAGCAGACTATACCACCCCGGAATTACATACCGTACTGTACTGTACCAGTACTGTCACCCGTAAACAAACACAGCAAAACACCACATTCAAGTCAGAAAACAGAATATGGATCACCACCTACACAACCCCAAAACAGTCCAAACCACCGTCCCGCACCGCACCATCGGGGGTTGTATACCAAAACCTACGAGACCACACCGGCATTACCCACCTACCCACTTATCGTGCCGGTGCCTGTACCGTACGAGCACTCGCACCGTACTCATACGTAACCACATCATTCGGTCGTGCTCGTGACGATTTCAAAGTTAGTTCCTTTTGCTTTTCCAAGAGAAACCAAAAACCAAATACCGTAGGTAAGCAGATTCGAGTGATCCCGATGAATAAAGATGTGTGAAAGGACAAGAAGAAAGTCGGGTGCTCCCCACTATTACCCATACCCATATCACCCCTTTTCCACCATACAGTACCGGTATCGTGCCGTGCTGGTACTGTGCATATTCCCCCCTGTGTTTGCCCCCCCACAAGTGTCGGACCGTCTGACAATCATAAGTGGGGGGCTGCGGTGTCACCAGTTTGCTTTTACAACTATGATTACTTGTATTGTTCATAATTTAGCCGATGTCATTTACCTGACTGACCGACTGATTGAAGGACATACTGTAATATTGTCGTTGTGGGTATTTCTTTTCTGTGCTGTGCTCTTAGGCGGTGGGAGGTGATGGAGGTTATAAACCACCGTAACCTATGATACGGTAAATTTAGGGACACCATCGTGCACGAGGCGGGTAGTAGGTGGGTGTAGGTAGAGTATCATAGGTAAAAGTTTTCAAGAGTCGGTAACAATGTAGAGTGTCATTCCGTATCGTTCGTAGTCGTGAATTTCCTATCATACCATAACTCACGGTATATATATATTATATATTAATTAGGCATGATGTACGACAACACTTCCCCTTCTTGCTATCGTACTTCGGATTAAAATCTTCTTACGCCGGGTCCTCCTCGCCAGCCAGCCCCAGCCACGAACTGTTCGAAAAGGAAAAATGAAATGAAATGATATAATGAGTGCTTAAATTACTTCAAAAAAATCAAGAGAATCCTAGTCGGCATCTCGACACGGTTTAAAAAATGATCAAAAGTAAAAGATAAAATCTTCCGGAATTTTATACAGGAATAAAAGTAAAAAGAGCGAACTTTCCGGCAGTGAATTATTCCCCACATCTCTCTTCGTCATCGTCAGATGCCCGCCAAAAAAAAAAAAAAAAAAAAAAAAACTTAAAATCAACCAGCCCAAGATTTCTCTCTTCTGTGCCCGCTTTTTTCGCGGAATCCCAAGTGACCCGTGTCCATTAGTCTGTGAAAGATGGGTATGTACTGTACGATAATCCTCCACACAAAAGAAAGAAGAAAGGAGAAAACATCGACAGGATGTAAAATAGCTATAGTAAACAGGAATAGAAACTGGATGGTGAGCGTGGCCCATGATGTTCCTTTCCAACCAGAAATTATCAGGACATGAAGAATAATAAAGGTACATTACCACTAGACAAGCTTGACAGACAAAATACTTCAAACCAAACACCTGAGATATATCCCCCTATATTGTCAACATACTATGACCGATTTTTTCCACTTCCTGGGATCCCATATCCAAACACCAAGAAAAAGAAAGAAAGAAAAAACTGCAAAATTGCCAAATAAAAATGCACATCTACTCCCACATACGGTAGTAAGCTTTCTGACCGGGCTCAACTGTAACGGTACATCCAGCTCCGCCATCTTGGCAGACGCCCATGATGCACTCGCACTTCTTGCCGCCGACACCACCAACAATCTATTAATTATGTTAGTATTGATATCCAGGATGTAAAACGACAGGGCGCACATACAGAGACATTGAAATTGGCGGGCTTGCTGTTGTTGGGGTTCTTGGAGACAGAGATCCAAATCTTACCGCCCTTCTTTCCGGCACCGAAGATCTGTATGAATATTAGCATCTGACAGCCTATTGCTCAGCAGGATGTATAAGTCTTACATAAGGGGCCCAGTTTCCAACCTCACCACCCTCCTTACCCCAGAGACACCCTTCCTTGACGCTAACCCCAGCATTGTTGACATAGTATTGGGCAGAAGTGGCACCACCCTTCCATTTGTAGGCAGTCGGGGAGTCAGCATCAGGGGCAGTGAGAGGCTTCTCCGTGCCAGGATCGCACTGCAAGGGCACAACCATGTTCTCGGAACCTATACATTATTAGGGCAAACACTAAATTAACGAACACCACAGAACAGCTTACCAGGATAGTCGGTACGACAAACAGCCACAACTTTGCTCAGCTCGTTCTTAACGCTGATACCACCAGCACCAGGCTCACAAAGGTACTTGCAGTCAGGGCGCGTGAGAGTAAGGACACCGCCTTTGCAGAGAAGACCACCGTGACTCTCGCCAGAGGCGGGTTGATCCGAAGGCCATTGAGCCTTGCTGAACCCAGGAGGACAAGCATACGAGCAAAGCGAACCCTCCTTGCAAACACCCTCGTTGTCGGCGTTTCCACCATTGTACTGAATGCCAGACCATCCATCCTTTGTGTGCCACGGCAATTCCATTGCGCCATAGTCTGATGGAAACTTACTACAGGGAATAGCACCATCCTTAAATTCACGCCCAGTGTTTTCGTTGGAGTCATGGCCCTTGTTGGTGTTTGATGTGTCGGAATCAGAAGTATCCTTCTTCTTATCCTTGTCGTCTTTCTTGTCATCCTTCTTGGGAGGATTGGTGGGGGTAGGAGCATCGACCTTGATGTCCTTAACCTCTGGAGGAGATCCACCGGCGGTGGGGAGGGGGTAGCTGGAAGGAGTGGACTGGATGGTGGTCCAAACAGTCGTAAGCTCAGTAACCATATAGCGTTCCTTCAAGGCCCTAGCATGGCGACCGTGCACACGAGCATGCTTTCCATGGGGCTGGGCAGCAGCCAAAGTGGAGGAGCCTGCCAGGGCGAGCACGAAAAGTACGAGGCTAGCGCTGAACCCCATGCTTACAATGAAGGTATAGGACACTCAAAGCGGGAAAGAAAAAAATTAATTGGGGGAGGTCGTTCAACGATATCGAGAAACTGATGATCTCGTATTCGAAGGGAGCGCGACTACTCTTTTATGTAAAGAGCAATTGACCGATATCAGAATCGAATGACGATGGGCAAAATGTAACGTAAGGAGCGAGGGCACGAAAGTAAAATTCTTTCCGTTATGCAGAGGGTTCTGCTGCGTGTTCCGGATTGCTTGTCTTAAAAGGAGTGTGGTGGGAAAGGGAAAAATTCCTCTTCCTGTGGGAACGGGACAATCAGCAACAGGTAGAGAGCGAGCGAGGGTAAGGAGGAAGAAGAGGGGGAGAGGGAAGAAGAAGCGGAAGAAGAGGGAAGAGATACATAAGTAGTTGCAGGCAGTGGGTCAGTTAGGGGGTAAGGGTGTGTGTGGGTGTGGGTGGTTGGCGGAGACTGATGTGAAGGAGAGGTGGAATTTCAGGGGGGGAAGAGGCGGAGAAGGGAGAAGCACAGCCAACAGAAGCCAGAGAGAGAGGCACAAACGCTCCCAGCAGCCCAGCGGCAGCACAGAACGGGCGTGCAGAGCCCGCACTGTGTGCGTATCTCTCCGCTCAAAAGAGGGAGCACCACCATTGGACGGGAAATGAGTGACAAAAGAGTGAGCGAGCGAACCGCAGGGTACATGTACAAGTATCATGGGCCCCCGGCCGGTGAATCCCCCAATGCAGAAGGCCAGATACCAGGGTTGGATGCGAGCGGCAGTTCATCCAAAGAGCGATTGACGTACGAGACCTTGCTAAGGCCTCTCATTGCGTGAAATGAAATGAGGTTAAATGAACGAGACAAGAAAAATAAAACATAAGCTTCGACATCCGGACGGGCAGGTTGTACGAACGAGTGCAGTGGACGACAAAAAGGTTGCCGCGAACAAAAGAGATTTCTCTCAATCCTCCCTCCCTTACCGTACCTCACAAACGCGAAAGGAACCACGACAGAAAGGCTACCGTACGGTACCGCAGGAAGAAGCCGTTGAGACCCTGGTTCGTGACTGCGCGAAGAACAAGCGCGCCCAAACAGTGGGCAAGGACCCCTTTTTAACCGGATCGTGGGGAAAGGCGAGAACAAAGTTACACGGCAGAGAATTTCCTCTTTGCTCCCGCCAATGGCGGGCAGAGGTGTCTAGAAAGCCAGCCATGTAGGAAATTACCGTATAATGTACCAGCACCGTGAGATTCCAGAATGGACTGTACTCGAGTACAAGTAACGGTGTTGTCCAACCCCGTTACTCGTGCCTTCACCCGCTCGGAATGATGCCCTTTTTGTGGGCGTGTGGAGTTTCCGCATGCTCGGAGCCCGCATCTTACCTTGATGATGATGATAATGGTGATGCCCGCCCATCATCTGCAAAGAATCCGCAGCCTCAAAGTTACCGTGAGTGCCACCGTCCATAGCAGTACCTTTCATCAGCGAGCAACGACCCCTATCATCATTCCGACCCGGCTCTGCACGAGTGACTGAGAGAGGGAGAAGATTCCCCTCTCTCCCACCCACATCCCCCACCGAACAACCTTACCAGTACCCTACTTCCCCTCGGCCACCATACGGGGCTGCGTAGATTTTACTCTCGATACAGTGTGAACAAATTTGGAATGAGAGTCAAGGTTGTTGTTGTTATTGCTGTTGTTGTTGCGGCGCTAGCACATTGCTTTTGTCTTCACTTTCCTTACCCCTGCCAAGCCAGCACCAAGCAACACTTGGGTGTCGGCTCTCGAGTACGAGTACTTGTACCTGATTAGCCCCTGACAACATCAGCCACTCAAAATCTATATCTCCACACCCACATCAAGAAACTCTTCATACTCGAGCATGTTCTTTTCCTTTTTTTTTCTTTCCTTTTTCTCTTTCCTTTTTTCATCCTTCACTCTTTCCTTTTCCTTTCCTAAATTTTCTCACTGCACTCCTCTGCACTAAACAGATTACAAAATGCCCTCCGCCCCACTCGCGAGTGGGATACGGACAAGGATATGATATGATATGCACCACACAATCACATTGCCCTCCAACGTGAAGGAAAGGGCTGGTTTTTTCTCTCGATCCTGGTAACAAGATTCACTTGTCAATCGCCACTTACCCATCGAACAACGCCCAAAAACCGTTGTGTCCAAGAGCTTCTGGAACAAAGTAGATATTGGAGATGACCACTGGACCTTTCTCAAAAGATCTGAGATGGGAAATAGATAAGTGATTTACCCATGGCACTTGTATAGTACTCGAGTACGGTACTGTATGATTGATGCTTTCACACCACTAGATTTTGCGGAAACCACCAAAACTCGGTCCCCAGACAGACAGCTCATGGTCCGGAGACTTTCTTTAAAAAAAAAGAAAAGGTTGAGTAGAATTCTTCCGAGCAAGGCAATGGGAGATTCTCACGATGGGACAAGGTTTGTGACCCACAAATTGAACAAATATCCCTTAAGAAATCGGTGCCTTACGTACTGTACTACGGTGGTACTCGGGTAGCGGTACCAGTTACCGGTATTGGGAGGTGATAGAAACCATAAGCAATGATTGCCCGCAGCAAGATGTGAGATGGCCACCACGGTACCGGTATTGGGTTTAGCAGGTACTCGAGTACAGTATCATACTGCAGTACGGTACAGCAGCGCCGCGATAGCTTTCCAGGCACAGGTTAGTGATGGTGCAAGTACTCGAGTACTCGAGTACGAGTACATGTATTATGATGCAGACAAAAAGGGTTGAGCCCGAGCGCTCAATACCGGAAGGGTAAAAATAAAAAAAACTACCTGGAACCCCTGTCTGTATCATGACTAACCCGTGGGGTGACTGTTATTCCGCTGGGCAAAGGCGGTACCTGTACTAGTACGAGTACACAGAAAACCGTGCCCCAAAGATGACATTCTCATTTTCATGGGGCAGACCGGTTATTGGACTCTCACCGCTGTCCGAGATGGAAAAATGGTATTCAGAGAGTTTTCCGAGAAAAAAAAACATCCCCCGGGGTTTCCCACGAAGAGATTTCCATACCGGTATCATACCGGCACAGTGCCGGCACCTCGCCTCCCCCTCCAAGCTTAGCAAGATCGGAGATATTCCGGACTTGCCCCCAGTGAATTTAATTGCACGGATGACCTTCTGCTACCCGTGCCCCCCTCCCCCCGACTTCTCAGTTTCTAATTCTGGCGCGGCCTTCCCCCTCTGTCCCATGGTCGCAGTAGAATCTGTCGCTCGGGAAGCAGTCTGAGAAGAGGGCCTTTTGTTTTTCGCTCTTGTTGGCTCACACTTTTTCCCCCCCCTTTCGCTTACCGGTACCGTATTGAAGTGGATCGTTGCCCGGGTGTGGGGACACGAGCAGATCTTCATGTAACTCCATCAGATAAGATCTTAATTTATCAAAGCAGATACCGTATCCGAAGAACCACCTTACAGTCTTCACTGGGGGCGTGACGAAACTGGGCCGATGACGAACAGGGGTACCGTACGGGCAAAAGTAAATTCGTCAAAGTAAGGTAACGAAAAGTTTACTATTATACCTAAGGATTCCTGTTCATCACCCGCCCAGTTTCGTCGTGCCCCCATGAAGACTGTAGCATAATCCCCCCTGGTGCCTGAAATGCTTACGTACAATATATACAGAGTATAATACCCTCCTCCCACCCACCTGCCTGTATCCTCTCACTGTTCTCCTCGCTCAGAGCTTATGATCCTACCTTCAAGTTAAACCTCAGATGATCCTATCTTGAACCCCAAAATCGATTCTGTCCCAATCCTTACTTGCTGTCCTTCCAATTCTCTCGTTCCCGTTCTAGCTATTAAGTTTCCTTCGTACATTCACCTGTGACCCTGATCCCTATTTCTGTCTATCCAATTATATGGTCGAATGGGCTGCATCTAAATTCAGGATACCAGGAACCTATTGGTACTGGGGGTGGCCACACCGGCAACTCGCGAAGTCTCCTCTACCATAGTCCTTCTGATGCGAGTTCCTATCGAGCATATAGTCCATGCCAAGGTTACCAAGACCGGCCAAGTGAAAAATAGCATCCCCTCCACCTGCTATAAAATCCCGCCACCTCCCATCCCACTGAAAACCAAAGGCACTCCCATCCTACCAATTCTTATCCCTTGTGATGAAGATCTCCTACCTTCCCAGTGTCCCTGGAATCTCGTTAGAACCATGAAACTGAACATTACGATCAGAGACCTGAAATTGAAGAACATAACTGAGCTCTGGGAAATGTCAGAAGGTGATATGCACTTTCAAAAGGTTTCGGAGAAAGACCTATGGGATTGAATTGTTGAAAATCCAGAAATAGTTGAACACAACAAAATCCGATACGAGTATAACTTCTTCTCAGAGCAATTAGTTGTAAAATGTATGCCCATGGCCACTCATGACTCGTTGCAGTGCTTTTTTACACAAACCACTGGCATATTTAGATCACTGGTCAAAAAAGTAGGATTGCTGAGAGCCCATGGGTTGGTAACTGTCGGTTCAGGAACTAGTAAGTAATGCCAGTAGATAAATTATTTTTGGAATTTGACTAATAGCGTTTAGCCTTTACCGGCTTCGAAGGGGACTGGAGTGGCTCATCGCAGAAGCTTCCTGATAGTTACATGAAATTAAGTGGTACAGAGTTTCCAGCAGTTGTTTGTGAGGCTGGTTGGGCGGAGACCCTGGAGTAATTAATTGAAGATGCCAGACTATGGCTTCTGAATACTGAGGTCAAACAAAAATTGTTATCGTGATGTGCTTTACTGAAACTCACATAAGGAGTGGGATGGATTTAAGCAGTGAGGTGTTGGAAGATAGGATGGGGACTGAGGGAAGGCAAACAGCAGAGCGAATACTAATAGAAAGCATACATGAATCAACAAAGGTTCTCGACTTAGGAGAGGATGTCTCTGTAGATATGGATCCAATGGATCCAATAACCTTCAGTTTGCCGGTCCTGGAGGCATCAGTTGCACAATCCCTACCAAATACCACATGGTATAGAGCGAATCGACAATCAGAGAAACTGATGAAAGAAGCAGGTGTATGGGAAGAAAGTGACACATTTGTGCAGCATAAGCACCAGAGGAAAGATGGAGCTTAAGGAGAAGGAAGGGAAATGAATTGATGCAGTTAGGGGGTGTATTGGTAGAAGTGGCGATTCCTGTAGCCTCTGGTTCCGGAGGGATGGCGGCTGGGAAAGTAATGTCTCTGGTCACCGCTCAGCGTATGAGTTGACCTTGGAGCTAATGGAGGAGGAGCGTTTTACATTAATATTTTTTCGCCTTCCTGGCTTCCCAGCCGGACCCAATATTTTCACCTTTGCAGGCCCGTTAACCTTGACGTCCTCCCTTTCAGGCCAATTACCCAGTGTATTGCTATTGATGGGTAATTTGTAATTTGTTTTGTTGTGCGGTTATTTGTTTTGCTTTTGTTGTGGTAACTTGAAATCCTGTACAGTACTTTCAGGTTGTTTTTATCCTATCTCTTACGATGAGGGGCTTACATGTATCCCTTTGGATTGTTTCTGCCCCTGCTGGACTGGTTAGACTTTGCTAAGCTGTTCAAACTATTTCCCGCCGCTGTTTGGACTAAAGGATGGTATTGCAAATGGGTATGAGGTTTTTGTAGAATAAGTAAGCTACGATTCAGATCTTGGTGGTAATATTGCGGTTTGGTTGGAGATAGGCGAGCCTATACACTAGCTTGCTACCCATGGCGTCTGACTCGGGTGAGTACAAGTATATCTTTACTCTCAAGGGGTGTTGGGCTAGCAGGGAGTAAGTGCCCCGAATTGGGCATGGCTGCTTAGCACTATCCAATTCGCCGCCATTGACCTGCGCTGGCCGGACACCCCTTGATAGCAAAAGATACAAAACTTAGGTGCTATACTGTACCTCCGTTGGCTTCACCATCTCGATACATGGGGCGGGGTCAATGAAGAGGGAGTATCCGAGAAACAGATCCTCTCTCCCATCGACACATGGGCGCCCGCTATAGGTGAAACCGCGAGCTACTCTGGCGTGTGTCTACTCGGACAGCTGGGGCTTGGGGAGATTGGCGGGTGGCTTTCTCATAGAGATCGCTCACTTGGCATCTACCCGAGTGGGAGGGGGTTGTCCGTGTAGCCCGTGGTTTCGTCTCTGCCAGCCTCAGTCCAGCAGACCTTTTCAGAGGAGAGTCACACTTCGCACTGCCATTCAAGCTCCAGAATCTCTACTCTACCTACATTCCGAGGTCTCAACGCCATAATCTCCACCCCAGATCCCCACAATCGCCGAACAATACACGAGCGGGGATAGACGCCATCACGGATGTCGAGATGGTGGATGGAACAGATGGAACAGATGTCCATTTTTCCACCAAGCGAAGGTGTTCACGTTCAGGTGATTCTACCGAGTTAACCGAAGCTAGATTGGGTGAGGAAACGCTGTCCTCATTATCACCACGACGTATCCCACCGTCAGCCACACCAGATATCCCGGACATTACACGGGCAGGGAGAGATGCCATAATGGCTGTCGGGATGGATACTAGTATAGACGCCCATGGCTCCCCGCAACCACCAACCAACTGACTATGAGCCGACCCGACTACCCAGAGCGGCGCCGGGGGTGACACTGATAGAGGTTCTCCACAAACCCATCCTGCTACCCACAACGGCACTGAGAGTGACACTGATATAGATTCTCCACTACCCTTGCCCGGATCCCACGGGCGGTCGAATGACAAACCATATATCCTGGAGGGGCCAGAGGTCAACGCAAAGGTTGTCAAGCACTCTAGATTGAATGTCCATCTTCTCCCCGAGAAGGTTGGAATTGTTGCCCTTGCAATTGGTGGTATGCATAGTTTGGCGTTGCCGCACGAGGGGAAAGTCTACTCATGGGGTGTCAATGATCAGTTCGCACTTGGGAGGGAAACGGGGTACGCCGCTGGTGACAGTATTTCGATAGCTGTTACTGTACAGACGCCGGCAAGGTTTATGGATGGGGAACGTTTAGGGTATGTGGTGGATTCCACAATCCGGTTTACAGTATCGTTGACCGATTGTCTAGTGCTCTGACAGTATTCTTAGATTTAACGAGAAGGCTAGTGTACTAGTACTCGTACAGCGTGTCCCTGCTCTGCTGCCTACACTCAAGAACATTGTTCAGGTTAGCATCGGTAATGATCACGTCCTTAGCCTTACAAGGAAGGAGAGGTGTATCATACGCATGGGGCAATGGTCAGGTACGTCGCGACCGGCTCATATTCTTTCGCAATTACCCGGGACGGCAGGGTCTGGGCATGGGGGCTTAATCAATATGGGCAATGCGGGATATATGATACGAGTACCAGCCTCCGCGCGCCGGGGAGGGCAAACCCTTTAAATACCAGCCTGTCTCAGATTTTTCCTATAATACCATCAAGGTTTTTAGCCTTTCTGCCGCCCCCAAGACAGTAAAGAATGTGCAGAAATGGGTGGGAGTGGCAACCATCAGCTACTTTGTTGCTTAAAAATTTGTCAGTAAAAATCCCGCCAAGATGTGTTGAGACAATTCTTTTTACCTAGTCTGGCACAAAAAGAAACCTTTTTTTTTTATCTAAACTACATTTTTCTGTACCTGTTGTGTCTCTAGAAATTTCGATAAAAATTAAACGAATAGTTACCCCTAGATCAGGTTAATCTTGAAAGAAACATCTAGAAATCCCTCTGACTCCCCCAAGGTTGCATTTTCCCACTTAGAAGTTGAAGTATTATTTGCTTGGCCGTGAGTGAAACCAAACTTTTGGCTGGCATGAAAAAAAACATTGCTGGTATTCTAAAGGGAGGGTCCGGGATTCGCTGGTATTTTGTAGGTTTTCTCGTCTCGACAGTGGACAACTCGGTATTGACTTTGCGGTGCTCCCAGCGGAGGATACGAGTACTGTACCATCCGTGACACAATGGCCAGCCCCCGCTACAAGTACCTCCTGACCCCACATGTTGTCCCCGGCATCAGGTTCTCCTTTATTGGCCGCGGCACGAACCACAATATTGCCGTCTCAAAGGAGGGGGGGACAAGCACAAGTTACTCTTGGGGCTTCGGTGGCAGTTATCAAACCGGCCTCGGCCCCGATGCCGATGACGAGATCATGACCCCTACAAAAATTGAAAACACGGCCACCAGAGGCGTCCGGATGGCCTTCGCCACTGCCGGTGAGCAGTTCTCCATCCTCGCCGGCATTCCTGCGGGACCTGCTAATTGCGGCTATCGGGGTGCTGATGTAGAGTACAGTAGATGCTAATGGTGATAAAGGGGCGGTGGAGGCGGGACCGGGGGGGTGATTAACGGGGACGCTGACAACGCAAAGAACGGGAATTCGTTGCTTCTTAATACAGACCCCCCCCCCCCCTATACCCGGAGCGTACGAGCTTTCTGTCTTTCCTTTATTCTATCATATGTTGGGGTGGCTCACAAAGCCTGGGGCTCTCCATAGCGATTTGTATTACGGTACTGTAGTTAGGACTGAGACCTGTTAGTTAGCTATGAATATCCTGGCTCCAGGCCTCGTAACCTCAAACTGGGGCTTACTGCGACTAGTCTAAAATGGCGATAGTCCTCCTTTCTTGCTCTCTGTGTTTAATTAAAATTTTCTCCAAATCTGATTTCTACTCGAGTACCCGTCAAGGGAAATGATCTACGCCAAGACTTTTTCGTTTTTTCTTCCCTCCTACCGTCCTCCGAATATGGTACTTGTATCTGTCGTACTGGTAGTCCTCCTTACGAGCCCAATTGGGTACAAGCACTCACAACTTGAAATTATCATTATCAATATACATGTACCGGTAGTACTAGTACCGGTACGGCACAATATTTATCTGCTGTTTTTTTTGTTCAGAGGCCCCCTCATATCGGTTGACCACTCGTTCGAGAGCCCATTCGGCTGCACCACGTCTTTACCTGCCACACGACACGGCGTACGATTCATACCAGGTATGTTAGACTCAACGCACGTGGAAGGGGAAGGGGGGAGGGCCGTTAAAAAAAAATCCTTCGAAGCCACCTCTTCTCACTAGAGTGAAGCTTATTTTCCAAGGCGCTGCAAAGGATGTCTGGATAAGACACGATCTGTGGCATCTCAGGCCTCGATTGGTACAGATACTGTACTCGTACTTGTATCTGCAGGCCCATCAACCAACCCAAGGGGGGTAAAAGGAGGAAAAAGTCTCTAAAGCCAAGACCAATTATGCCGTTCCGGTAGTTCGAGCAGATGTCGGTACGTGCCGGAGGGCTGAAAGGAGCAATCACAGCCAAAAGAAAGGGGGCAGGTGTCCAGCAGCAAGACCTCAACATAGAGAAATCACTCGTTATTCGAGGCATTTGACCGCCAACAATTTGTCGCGAGCACGAAATACTCTAGTTCCCCAATGGTACGGTACAAGCGTCCTGGAAAGCTGGAGAATACCATTGAATGAATGGCATCACCATTTGCCCTGTAGATAACCAGCGCACATGCCACATGCTTAGATCGATTCCCAGGGATCATTGAGCATTGACACCGCTCGACCGGCGCTGGCGAATCAAACCGGGTCCATGATATCCCCCCGGTCCCACCGACAGAGCGGACGAACGAAACAATCTCCCCAAGGATTAATTACGGTAGATGAGTGAGCGTACCTGGAATTTCCGGTTCCGGGGTGTACCCCGATTCAACAAGCAAGCGGAAACGTGTTGAGATACAGATGGAGAAGTGGGGAAAAACAAACTTTCGCTAATTGTGCTTGCGCTCGAGTGGATCGTACGTACCGTGCAAGTACGCATTGCGGGCGTAATGTCATACTCGAGTAATGCGGTACACAGCATTATGAGACCAGGGAGGAAGAAGTCCATCATTGCCCTTTTCTCCCTTCCGCTCCCTCTGCTGTGGAGATACCTGTAGATGCGCTGTGATAGGACGCTGCAGTTGCCTCTCCCGGTAAGGTGTTTTGTACCAGTACGTAGCACACCCCTCTTGCCCAACCTCAACCGAGAACTGAGTCTGCGGTGTTTCTCCCCTCGCGTCGCCGAGAAGGGGAATTCCAACGTCCTAGCGTGAAGGGAGGTCCTCTTCACTCGCCGGTGGTTGCTTGTACGGGTGCTCGTACTAGTACAGCGTCGGTATGATATGCCATTCTGAGAAAAAGAGTTTCTGAGGGCAAGGAAGAATACCTGTATCACCCGGCACCCTACCAGCACTCTAGCACCGCACACGTGGTAGAGTTACTACAAGTACGTACGGTACACCGGTATGTAGCCATCCTATTATGAAATCAAGCCGAGTTGATTAACCGCGCCGCTTGCGTTACTCACCTTCTCAAGTTTACACCATTCGTGCGCTGCTCGTAGACCGGGGACCCGGGAGCCAACGGCAATAGGAAGGTGGAAGATCATCGCTGGCTGCTTTTGTGACAAAGTCCAGGTTCTCTTTTCTGGCCTCCCTAATACCGGCAATTCATCTTCTGCTTGAGTTCTTGCGGCATCATACGGTACTGGCCTCGCACTTCCGTCCCGTGCCGGCGGGTTCAGATAGATATCTATCTCTACTCCGAGAGCGGCAGGTACCGGTAGATGTCGCCGTCGCGTGACGGTGATTCTAGCATCCTGCGTGTAGTATGGTGTCGTGAGGGAAACATTTGGTCTGGGTTTGGTATGGGCATTCGATTGTGCACAGATAATTCATCTGTGTTTTAGTATTCCATAGCGGACACTAGTATAATATCCATTGGTCGCACTCGTACCCCACAAGCGTACGGCAAACGGCCGAGTGATTGAGGGTGTGCCTTACCGGTATTCTATCGATCCTACCACTAACTTAAGAAGATGACAGAATACCGGTAGAGTCCCGTACGGTACAATACTCGAGTACCTCCCCTCCCCCGCACAAATCACCCACCCACCCGCTTCTGGCGCTATACGGTACCACAGAGATCGGTGGGGCGGAAACCGGAGATAACCACTTTCCTGCAAGCCAGAAACATCGAGTAAAAAAACTCTTCAGCGACGGGATAATCATTGGTCGATCGATTACTCGTACCGGACAGCGCCGTACCGCGTCCCAGCTGCCGGGTACTGTACGAGTACTCTGCGCCCACCGGCTGCTGCCCAACGAGAAAAACGGAAACTCTTAATCCATCCATCCATTCATTCATTCATGCAGGAACAGGATTGAAGAGATGAGGGAATTTTGCGAAGTGATCCACGTCGTAGGATTTTGCTTGCATTGTGGGTTATCTATCTACGAGTATGATATCTCTCAGCTTGCGTTGCGCTGTTTGTGGGAGGTTGGGTTAGATTAAGGTTATGAAATTTTATATTTTTTTCCTTCCTTTTTCCCTTTCGCTTGCAGGGCGTTGGATGGGGATATGATATCTGGATGGGTGGATGGACGGACGGATGGATGGATGGATGCGATAACGACGATAATCAAACCCGACCAGTTATAAAGTGCATTTGTGGGGCTTTTGCGGAGGTTTTGCTGGTAATTTGAGTACCGTATCAGGCGGATCTAGTGGATCATTGCCCGTGTTAACATTGTCTATCAACCGTGGCAAGTGTTGGCTAATAAAGTGACCTTCCGTGATAACTCATACGGTAGTTGTTGGATCGTGCCCCTACCATAGAGGGAGGAATTAAACCCTCGGCAAATTAGATCCGCAGATCATGCAGACCAATATGGTAAATAGCATATGGTACCGGTTCTGCAGTGCCGTTATCAGCGGTTAATGAAGGAAGGAAGGGGAGTTAGTGGCCTGGCAATTTTCCTGCGCAGATGCAGGAACAAGGTCCAACCTATCAATCCAATCCATGTTTGTGCTCCGCTGCTCTGCCAGGAACCAAAGCAAGCTCTTGTTTCTCCCACCGTAAATCCCGATCCCGGAATCTCTCTCTCTCTCTCTACAACAATACAAGCGAGTGGAGGAGCACTCCGCCTCCCCTTCTCAGGCTGGCAGGGCTGAAATGGCAGAGGAGAAACCAGTGGATAGGAATCGACGGGTTAAAACAATTTCACCTCACCAACCGCACGTATTGTGCAACCAACCACGCTGCATACAGGGCAGCGTTGCTGGTGCCGTACCGTATGGTGTGATAACTCTGCGCGAGGGTGTGATTGGGGTTAAATAAATAGATAGTTGGATCAATTAGATTGGGGGCTTTGTTCGCAAAGTAGAGTATGCTGTGTGCTTCCGGAGGCTCTACAAGGTTACTGTAAAGGAATTGGTAATCGTTTCCGACTCGGCTTGAGAATTTGAAGATGGAATGAGGGGCCACGGGGTTCGGGGGTGCAACTTGATAGCGATAAGATGGTTAATTGGCACGAGTGTTTGACGGGAGGGGCGGAGAGGGAAGTCAACGCTAGGGTTGCTGGGTTGTGGGTATCGTGTACTTCATGCCTGTGGCGGTCCATCTTCTGTAGCCTTATAGGGTATTCGCCTACTGGTGGTGTGGTGCCAGCACCGCGGCCATCTCCGCTATCCCATAATCCGTCACCGCGTCTGAGAGCTTGGCTGCATATAATAAAATCTTTGTTTGGGACTCTGTTACTTTATTATCGATTAGAAAGGATGCTCTACATCCCGTTATCTTCCTGAGCAAGACATCTTTGACGTAGCATATGATTTACTAACGAAATATAGGACCATACTGTATGCCGGCCCGCATAGGCTCTTGTTCGCTGTATTAGTGCGAGTGCTCTTTGATGCTACCATATGCTGAGGCTCTCTAGCCAAGCGTTCTCTAATTTTTACATCCAATTCCGTGATTGCTGTGATGGCTAAACCGGGCGCAGCGGGGAGGAGAGAAATCACGGCATGGGTGAAGACCGAAGGTGAGGAGAGGGGAGTCGTTCTTGTCTTCCTCTAGAAGCTCCGAAAGAAGAAGACTAATATACACCAAAGAGAGGAAGCTACCACTAACAGTGCTGGTTTCCCCAACAGCACTGGACAGTCACACCAACAACTAGGAGCTCACAGCCCTAACACGTACAGCTATGCTCCCCCATACATCTCATGATCAATATCATATGTTCTCCCTAACATCCTGCTATTGGGATTATGCCATCATTCCGGTGGAGGAAAGGGCGGTAATGAATTCCCGCGGGTTTCCTATTTCGGAGGTCCTACTTGCCAGTGCTTCCTTGATCAAGGACTCGTACTATACTAGTGCTTGAGCGTGGTAGGTTCGAGACTTTAGTGCCGTGGGACACGT